GACAGCTAATGCTAACAAGCACAAATTAAAGGCTTCCTGCTTTCCCCCCCCCCATCTTGATTACAGCTACTGTTGCTTACTGTGGTTTCACGCTGGACCCACAGGATCCGCAGACTCAATCTCCTGCAGCCCGCTTTGTGTCTGGCTCTATTGAACCAGAAAAGGTGGACGCTTAGTGGATATCTGAGGGTGGGGAGGCTTCTCTGGTCGTCATGGTCTCTCTCTCTCTCTCCGTGTTCAATTTCATTAATTAGGAAATCAAGCAGCAATGTTATCTTAGAGCATTGCGTTGCTCTCTTAACCTCCCAGCACTATTGATTGAAGGGTATAATATACAGTATATCCTCCACACTATTGATTGCAGAATATATGTATTACAATCTAACTGTAACATCGTGTATAATTTCTACAGATTGGATGATTGCGTCCTCCTTTGCATTAAAAAAAAAAGGGAGGGAGGGAGGGAAAGGTCTTTGAATAATTTTGCTTCACGATTTAAATGATCCTGCTTCACAAAAAGAAAACAATCCACACACTGGAATCACTGCAGCACTTAACACCGATTTGATTTTGACACTTTCAATACGAATGACATGTCTTTTCTCACTTCTTCTTTCCCCCTTCATCTGCTACAGCCTGCATGTTATTTGCATTTAACAGTAACGTTTTTTGACCAATGTCGAGCTCCTCTTTTTTACTCTTCTCACTTTTTAACCTCCCTTGCCCTTGATGCAACATGCAGCATTGGTGCATCACCTGGTCAATCAACAGATGCCATTCCTGCTTCTCAAATGTTAGACTCTGCTGCTTGGTAAACTGCATGTATTTGGGTTTGGGACTGTTTGGACATGGTCCAGGTCTGAGGTGCGTCCAAGACGGTGAGAGAACCCGACTGGATCTGACAGGAGCTGAAAATCACGCAATCAAAACACCAACGAATCACTCACTTGGCTTCATCTCGGTAGAGACTGTGCCTGTTATTGCATTTGTGTTGGGGAGCAGCCATACTTGCTATTGAATTTCTTCTTCTTCTTCTTCTTCTGAGCAAATCTCATTTATGCTTTGGTGAAATAGTTCTTCCAAGCATTGAAATTCTTGGAAATTCCTCTAATAAAAGTGAACCGGTCATTGGGCGTTTTGAATGAGACACTTAAGAATCAATTTGTTGTTAATCAGAGATTTTCTACAGTGATTCTGAACTGGAGAGGTGATGGACACAAGCCCTCTGCATCGGCAGTGAATCAGCAGATGGTGGGTAAGTAGTGTTAGCTTCTATTAGATATGATCACATTTTTGCGTGAGTGTGTGTGAGTGTGTGCTTTTAAGCATCTTGGATTCGTGGTCGATAGGTCCTTTGGGTCAGAAACTCATTTCCACCACTCTTTAGTTGCATTTTACCTGCTGTTTTATTTGTATGCTAATACAGTTCCAATTAGCCATCGAGAACTTGACGCTCTGCGCTCACAGATACTTAATCTCACACCAGATGTAAATGCTGTTGTGGCCATTTGGATGATTTGTTGAACCATAAAGGTTGATTATTATGTTTTTCCTTATTTACTCTTCAGATAACACCCTTAACCTCCACATACTGCTTACCACAGTGCATCTATTACTGGAGATAACCGTAACACATATCATTGCCAATCTCATAATGACCCCCAACTGGCCTTCGACAACGCATCGTCTCCCAGAAGGTACAGCAATTATACGCCGCTATACTGTATCTGGGTAGATAAGCACAGGAGTTGAACTGTGTGTGTGACACTTAATAAATGTCTATGACCATCCTCGGGAACACTTTAACCCCATTATTAAGCGTTTATAAGCAGTATATAAAACACTTTATCGACTATAACACACTATAATATAGCAAACAGATTAATTTGTCAAAACAGCGTATAGCTTTTCCTATGAAACATCTGTAAACGGTGTATTAATCGTTAACGAATGATAGCTATAATCCTATTTAACATATATGATTAACGCACTGTTTGTTGTAAAAGATGTATTAATTGTTTCTAAATAAATTCAAACCTCATGAAGAAATGTTGAGCTTCAAGTTTCATTCTGGGTCTGACACAAAAAAAAAGAGCCTATTTAAAGGTCCACTTACTGCACTTCTGTCCAAGCTTTCAGCCACATCTCACGATCTTCATCAGCAGATAGAGCTTGCTTAGAAGAAGTACCTGTGAGGAAATAAATTCTTAATTAAGATGTTAAAAAAAAAATATATATTTCATAAGAACCTGACTTTATACATGTGATATAACTATATTTAATCATAGTGCTCATTATATTCATAGGAGAGGTTACGACTGCTGTAAAATACATGGTTTATATCATATAATGATTTCTATATACACCAGTTATCATCTGTTTCACTTTAGGAGCCCATTTCATTTTAGCCTATCAAAATAAAAGTCTCGAAATGCTGTTTGAAGTAGCAATTTGTAGGTTTTGCTAATGCTACATAGCATAACGTTAGCATCAACAGCTGTTTACTCACCAGTCTAGAAGAAACTTCACGAGTTCAGCATCAAACGTCGTTCCTTCACTCGCCAAGCGCTGTCTCCAGCTGTGGAAAGAAACACCAATGTTAAGACTTGTCTCTATCACTTCTTTTCTTCTACTGAAGTTAGCGTGCTAACCAGCTAGCGACGGCCTGTTTTGTCATTTTCCAATAGCGACTCACTGCAGCCTCTAGTCTACACTGAAGCTGCAGCACCGCTCAGACGGCACATTATAAACTGTTGTCGATTAAACACAATGATAGCCGATGCTTTTTGTCAAGCAACAATCACCACCACCTGCTCCCAGCAACAACAAAAAGAAACACGTTTGACGGGAGAGAAAACGGATGGAAATGACTACAATGACTACAGTGACTGCAGGGAGGCAAAATGACCATGAATAGGCACAAAACAAGTAAAATTAAAAGGCAAAACAACCATAAAAAGACACAAAATTAGCATGACTTCACACAAACTGACTACAAAGTGACACAATATGAGTAAAAACAGATGCTAAGTGACAAGAAAGAGGCAAAAAAAATGACCAAAAAGAGATGCAAGACGACCACAAAGAGACACAAAATTACTTATGTCTCTTTCAATCTGGGCCCTTTTTTGTCTGAGCCCGGGGGCCAATTATCTCATAATCTGTCCATGATTAATTCACAGTCAGAAAAACTGTTCCTTGAATCAGATTTGACTCGAACCAAGCGCTCTTGTTTCAACGCTGTCGTGTTCCGTCAGGTCTCCCATGGATTTCTAATCGAGAGCAAATAAAACGCCGTAACCGTTGCACGTTTCGAAAAAAAATTTCACACGAAGGTCTTAGACTCAGAAGATCACGACACAACACAGAGCATCAAATATTGGAGGATTCAACTTAAGAGGTAGAGCTCTTTATCAACTGTTCAAACATCCTTGATTTATGAAACGGGCGGGGGGGAAAAATAGGACAGTTTCAAATAAATATGCCAAATTGACTTTTATAAACTTGTGTGCAGCTCTCTGACCTCCGTGGCATTTACTGTATTGTCCTAGAGGGCAAATTCCAGTCAACCAGCACTTCAGGCAAGTTCAAGCAAATGTTAAAATGTACTGTATTTGCAACTATTATCTGCCCTGCTCTACTGCAACACATAATTTCACTCCATTCCCCATCACATAATAAAAAAAAAAACAGCTTCATATCACAATCTGATACTGAGGAGTGCTTGGGAATTAGATTTTGCCATTTGAAAGAAAGACGAAGAGCATCTGCACCAGAACTAAACGCACCTCTGCGGACACTACAGCTGTGGCAAATGTATAGTAGCATAATAATATGCAGAAATTACATTTATTTATGTTTCAAAGGCACCGGTTCAAACACGTTCACAGGCTCCTCAACCCCACCACCCAGCCTCCTGCTGTTGTTGTTGCTGCTGTTGTTGTTGCTCCTGCTGTTCGTGTTGCTTTGCCGCTGCTGTTCCATTTGTCGTTGCTGTTAGTTTTCACTTTCAGCTTGCTCCTCTGCTCTGCGCTTTCTCGTTTGTGACTGATCTCGGAGCCGGTGGTTAATTTACAGATCAGTGGTATAAGAAAGAAAGACCAGGAATTAAAAATGATCCTGTCTCTTGGTTGGGACGACGATTTGTCTCACATGGAGGCAAGAAAAAGTATTTATAAAGTACAAAGATGCATCAGATCAAGCTGCCAGTCTCTACTGAAGTATGCAACAACATAAATAATAATAGCAAAAACTGAAGGTTCAACCACTAAAGTAAAAGAAGAGCATCTTGAAAATCCCATTTATTTGCTGATGCATTACTGACCTCTGGTGGTGAATATTAATATGAGTGTAATAAATTGTGCAAACAGCAATAATGCTTAAATGGAGGCTCTCAGGCAATATGGCGATGTTAACTGTAAGTAAATTATATGACACTTGACAGGGCCAATGTTTATAAAGTGACTTCAGCACTGACTTAACTCAGTGCTCATGACTGCTGCCTCTAATGAGGGTAATCATCCCTGCAGAATTTCATCATTTCCATCAGATAATTACTCATTAGAGTCACATGAGACGGGAGGAGAAATAAATGTACCGATTGTCAATCCAGTCAAAATAACCATCAGTCTCAGACTGGGCTGGTTCCTCCTGCAGACTGTTGTTGTAGCGGGGGCGTGGCAGAGCTGAAACTGTGTCAAATGAAACCAAAACAAGTGTCTGCGCGGATGCGGATTCACAAGCGGAGTATTTGATGTGTATTGAAAGATCGAGTGAATACATGGACAGCCACAGACCAAAGACAAAGTGTGCAAATTATGTTGGTGTACAAAAATGCCGAGTGCAAAATTACAGCTATTTTCCGACTTCAATCAATATTTTTTGACAGACAAATCACATGAAGAGTCATCAAATTGGACCTCAAGGTCGCTTCAGTTGAGCTGAAATTATTTCCTTTGAATGAAAAAGGTGCAGGCAATGAAACACACTCAGCATGCAAATTAAGATTATCAGTGGTGATTACAGAACAGTAACTTTTATTCAGACACAAATAGCGGCAGACTGCACTTGTGCACAGTGTAAACAGCGTTTGAGAATATTCTCATTTCTTCTGCACAGGAGCATCGTCCCTCACCACTGGGAATGCTTCAATTTCTTTGATGATCCGCTTAGCAATAACATCGTTGTTTGCTGAAACCATCCTTCGGGACATCAAATCGAATGGTCCGCCTGAAGTGTCAAACAAAGAGGGGGTGTTAAGAGGGGTTTCACCTGCAGTCCGTTTTCAAAGAGCAAATCCTGCTTTCAGCCACAGTATCCACTAATTCTCATTCATTCATGATGGCTTGTTTAACTTTGCAATCAATTACGATGCTGTGTGATCAAGATTCAAAAGCATACACACCATCAACATCCAGTAATATTCCTCCAGCTTCCTTGACTATCACCGCACCAGCAGCGATGTCCCAGCAGTGGATCCCGATCTCAAAGAAGGCCTCCACTGCCCCCGACGCCACCAGACACATGTTGGTGGCAGCTGTCCCTGATCCACGGAGCCTGTCAGCACAGATCAGTTGGAGATGAATTAATTTAAATCAGCTACACTGCCCTACAAAAACAGCGAACTGCAACCACAGAAGCAGTGAAGGAGAGAAAAACGGATTTAAAGTTTTGTCAGGCTCACAAACTGTGTTTTAATGCCTTAACTTTATGCTGGTTGTAACACCCGAAGAAGTAATTGCCATATGCATAATGCCTGACGGATGCACTTGAGATAATCATCATGGAGAGCAAGGTTGGATGTAAGTTCATTTAGTTATGTTAAATAACCAACTGAGTGACCAAGAGGTTAGCTTATCAAAATTCTTATTTTACATTTACAAACTAACTAGTTTAACTAGTTAGTTTAAGAAAATAAAACTTTCTTGATTACAGTAATAAAAAATTAAATCAATCAATTTACAAAGTAAAGCAATATAAACGTGAATTGAGTCAAAAGCTAAGATTGCAGATACTGATACGCCGCAGAGCTAGCTTTAGCAGGAGTTTAGCTAGCGCTTGATTGAGTGGCTACATTTAATGATGTGAAATAATAAATTGAATTAGCAAGTATTCAGTTTGAAGAGTGTGTGACATTTTATGTTTGAGCTTTAGCTAAGGCTAGCTGTGGCTATCTCACAGGCTAGCTCGCATTGGATACAGCTGTCTGCTTTAGCTCTCTTTAGTTGTAGTGATTTCCCAATGATTGTTATATTTTCCAGTCTTGTGTACGCAGCGCAAGACGACTCACCCGTGCACGGGGATGCAGAGGATCTTCTGCATGGTAGAGAAGATCTTGGTTACTTTTTCTGGGCTCCTGTCGGTTCCATGCTCAGAAATGATAATGGACTTCTTGATTTCTGTAATTGCAGCATGTCAAAAGAGTCACCATTATGTGTCATTACAGGTGTCACAGTCACTGTTAAGGTGCACACACACACACACACAAACACACACACACACACAGTTGAAAGGTTAGACACATCATGCATATTGGATGTTTTACTAATTTGTTCTTAGAAAAACCTTTAGGTCAGTTATATGGTTCTCTTCCCAGACGTACTGCAAAGCTCCTCGTGTTTCATTTTCAAATATTCAAATTAGTGTGTGGAAGTAGTGTAGTAGTACAATGTGTACTTTGACCGGCACTGCACATAAATATATGTTATATATATTACCTTGTACATCGGACACCTGAATTGCTTCGTCGTCGCAGAAAGCTCCCTTCCCCTTCCTTGCTTTATACATCTTGTCTTCCAAGCAGCTGTACACCACACCAAACTCCAACTGAAAACACATTTTCTTTTCAGCTTTCATGTACTAATTGTGAATAATAATTTTTATAATTATATAAAAATATATATATATATTTTTTTTAAATGGTTGGTTTTTAAATTGGCATTTGATTTGACATACCTCCTTATTGACAGCAAAGGCAATTGACACAGCCACAAATGGGAACCTGTGAAGAAGTATCAGTTATTAATTAATGAGTTTTAGAGATGTTGATAGACAGATTCTTTTTTTTTTACTGTTTGTGTAAGTTGTGAAATTCCCCATAAACGACTCATTCAATATGTTTTCTGTGTCTTTAGTCTGGCTCTGCTGGTGGCCAGAGGGGGTGAAATCTCCTCTGTTCTAATGGACAGGTTCTGATATATCCCTGGGTCGGTTTTTAACCCCCCTTAAAAACCACAGCTCAAAAAGTGAGATGTAAAAGTTGCAAATGGCTGTTTCGGACCAATGAGCTGAATCAAATGAATCGATCCGCGACACTATCAACCCATGCAGACACTGTGAGCATTTGGTGCCATGCTGTTTAGTTAAAAAGGACAAATTACACTTCCAGTGCTTCTTTTAAAAAGTACAACTGAGTTTATCCGATAACCGAAAGTGTTTCCAGTAACACAACAAATTGTCCTCGTGGCATCTTACCCGTGTACAAAGTTTGTGGTGCCGTCCACCGGGTCAATAATCCACGTGGGTTTGTCGGTTAAGATACACGGCTCCCCCTTCGCCACCGACTCCTCCCCAATGAAGCTGCAGCACAGAGGGAACCAATGGTACAATGAGCAATATCAAGACAAGCCTGAGCAATGTTGTGTTTTTGTTACAAAACCGTACAAGCGAACATAATCATGGGTGTGTGTGTGTGTGTGGCAGTAAGCCTCACCAGTGTGTGCCTTCTCCGAATTCCTCTTTAAGAGACCCGATGATGATTTTCTCCACCCTCTCATCAGTCTTTGTGACAAGGTCTACAGTGGAGCTTTTTGTCATGACCCTTATTTCACTCTCCCCAGCTTTCCTAATTTCCTAAAAAGAAATGACACATTATTAGCATGTGCTTAGAAATTCATTACTAAGATCCTCAGGTTAAAATATAATCACAAAATCTCCCAAAAATTTCCCCAAGTTCTACCCCTAAAGTCAGGTGCACATCCACATGCAGTGCAAGTTGAAAATGTGCATGAAGGCAGGTGGATGGAAACCAACTTTATGATGCAGACACCGGAGGAGAAATACATTAAGAGGCTCTGACATACCGCTCCAGCTTTTCTTGCCACTGCAACAGCAAAGTCATACGCCTTCTGCCATGGGTCCTCCATTTTTATTTTTTTTTATTTTACTTCTTACTTAGGGAGAGCTGTAAAAAAAGAAAAAGAAAAAACAAAGTTTGTAAGAGTGCAACAATGAATCATACATGTATAAAAGTGTTATTCATATGACATGCATTAAAGCGCAACTTAAAGAAATATAAAACAATTGGAAGCTACGATTAGCAGTCGTCATAAAAGGTGTTAAAGCTCTCTGAGGCCAAAAAAAACCAAAATACTACAAATGTGCGTGATTACCACACTTCTCTTACAACACAATGAGTTACGTAACGCTTCCTCTAGCAGCTGGCATCCATCTGTCCTGCATTGTTCTAAATCACAACCACAAGCCACAAGATTTCAACTTAAAAGTCACTGCGATGAAGAAACAAACATGTTGCTAAAGGCGTGGGTTTGGTTTTTTTCCGGAAGCGGAGGCATACAAGTTAAAAAAAAACAAAAAAAAACTGTCGTATCACGCATGCTGTGCGTGAATTAAAATTTGATCATGTTCAGAAGCGCTGAAGGCAAAACTGGTTTCAGTGTTTACAGAAAGTATGTGAGTTGATGTGCAGGACAGCGTTATCGTGTTTCTCCAGGACAAGACACCACCCTTCAACCCACTGGTTTCTGCTGTTGTAGAAAATCACACCATATGTCTTGCTACCAATCTTTATCTGCATTATCTCTACTTTTAGAAATATATCTTGTTTCTCAGAGTAGAAGCTGCTTTGTGATGAATCCACCTCACATAAAGAGTTTAGAGATAAATCCAACATTAATAACAAAAAATGACAAAAAAAAATAGGTAATAAACAGTTATCAATCGGCTGTGTTGATAAGCACACACCTGTACACCTTTTATGCACACACACACACACACGTGTCATCCACGCAATAATGAAATGAATGAAAAACCTACCTTGTGAAGTCAGAGGGTGCTGTCAGAGGTAGCTCCTGGATGCTAGTGCACCTTCTTTTGAAAAACTTAACTTTAAGTTGCTTCACTGCAGAGATGAGGAAACTCAAAAAAAAAAAAAAAACTTGGCTGGCATGACAGAGTGGGAAAAGTACTAGCACCGCCTTCATATGTTTCCCCATAGCAACCCCAAAGAGAGAGAGAAAAAAAAAAAACATTCTGTTCTCATGAGGGCAGACCTGCAACAACATGATGCCGCATTGTGGTCGACACAAGTGGTGGAAAATTTTCACGCATTTTAATGGTAATTCTTGTGCGATGACTACAGCGAGTAATGCAGAGGAGTCACAGGAAGACACACCCTGCTGTGCACGTCTGTGTGTCACACATGTACATGCATCAGCTGACATGAACAGTAAGTAAACGCTGAACAATGCAGCGGGAAAAAATTCCATCCTCTTGGTGTTCATGTCAGCGCGTATTGACCTAAGTCTTGATTTTCCGAGACGAAAACCCTTTACATCTTTTGGAGAAATTAAAGAGTACACTCCGGCTCCTGACTTGGTTTTAACATGGGATTTGACGTGACAAACAAAGCTTCCTGCCAGTTTTATATCTCCTAACACTTTCACTGCTTGAGTTTTCCTTTTATGTTCCTTTATTGTATTCCACTGGTGGAAAATACTTTTAAAGGTCCCCCGGTGAGTCAGTTTAGATTATGTGTGTGTGTGTGTGTGCATGCCCATTTTCTCTCCGTGCCTTTTGAAAGTTGGATATAGTCTCTGCAATATCAGTTAAAGTATATACGCTGCAGATGCACAGATCTAGATGTGTCTGTATCTACATTCATATGTCCGGATGCCAACTATCTTATCTGTTTTCCTGCAGCTGTTTTTCTTTTGACAGGTAAAAACATGCTGTTCATCATATCACACTTTAAGGTGTGGTAACTACCGCTAATTAATTCTCTCCTCAAAACGAAGAGATACTGCAGCGTGGAAATATTAAATGAAAATATTATGATTGAGTCGAATTCACAGCAGCTAAAAATGTACAATAAAGGGTATTTAAGTCTTGGATACCACCCCCCACAGATGAAAACTACTCTCTGAATCCTCAAACTACTCAACATGAAACCCCCAACAACTATCTTGCAGGAAGTCATACCTTGCTGCAAGATGGATTGTGCAATTAGTGGCAAATGCTGCAAGTTTCATGAAATTTACAATTGGTTTCCTATTTGTTCATGAGGCCTGAAATGTATTGATAATGCTTCGTTTAGATGTTCAAGAACAGGTCACACACAAGTCAAGGCAACAACACTTCACCAAGGTGAACAATAAGTAACTCGCTTTCCAATTTTTGTAAGAGATAATCATTTTAACACAGAAGTACAGACTCTCACTAAATAATGCATTAGACTCTGCATTGTCTGATGCTTCTGTCTGTGCTAAGAAAAAGAGAAAAGAGAGAGAGAAAAAAAGGAAGGGGCTCGTTCAGACATGATGCTCATCCACTGCCACACCTTGCATAACTCAAGTTTATGTGTGTTGAAATACCCTGGCTGCATTTCTCCTGTTTGCTATCGCACCAGTAACGACAGGATGAGTGCTAGAGCAAATGTTTAAGTACGACATCAGATCTTCTCGATGCAAGTTTGTCACCTGATATCGCTCTTCGTGCGATATCAGTTTTGTTTAACAGTGATAAAGGATGGCAGATGACACTGTCATCCTAGTACATCGGTTTCTGGATTCGCTAGGAATTGGATGCGCAAGCTGTGCAGCTAAAATAAACAGGCCTCTGTTGAATTTAACAGATCAGTATGGGGTATCATGGAAGGGGGGATTTGTTGAAAGTTTTGTTTGACCGAGAGCGGCAGGAGAGCAGTTGTCACCCTGTTGTCCCAGTTGTGCACTAAATATAAGACGCTCTCTAAAATGTTAGGAGACAGGCAGAGAGGAGTAATAGGACAAGCAAAACAAATACATCAGTCCTGCTGTCTTCCCTGGCAGATCCGTTATGAATAATTTATTCGAGATGGCGCATGTTTTGGATGTTTGGTTCCCCCGGAATCACAGCTGTAACTGAGGCCTGCCACGACGCTGAAGTTGCTGAAGGTCAGCGGTGCACCCCTGAAAGATGAGCAGGAGCTTCAGACCGGGTTCCTCTAGTCACCGAGCCCCTTCAGAGGTGTATTATTCAAAGGAGTCTACAAATATTCAACCGCCTCTGTGAGGCTGTAATTAGGCACAAAGGTGCTTTGAGCTGAGAGCTAATGTCAGCATGCTAAAATGCTCACATGCATAAACCCAAAAAGTATTGGTCATAAACCGAATATTACTAAAGGACAAATTGCAATTTTCACAACGTCAAAACTTCAGAGGATGACACAAAGTTATTCTATTTTATCCGCAGGGGAACATGAATGTCTGCGCCAGATTTCGTGGCAATCCATCCAATAGTTGTTGAGGCAACCTCAGGAAGAGTCTGGGGATTCATCCTCTGGGCACCATGGATGTGTGTCCGAAAAATTTCAAGGTAAATCATCCAACGGTCGTCAAGATATTTCAATCTGGACTAGAATGACCGACCGACGTTGCCCCCCCCCTAGAGCCATCCTTTGAGCGTGGCTAAAGATTGGAGGGTCTCCAAAGTATTTTCAGAATTTGAGTTTCACATGTTCTGTGTCTGGCTTTAAATGAAGATGTGAAATTAGTGTTTTGAAGGATGCAAGAGCAGGAGGAGAATCTTTTCTGCCGGCCTGCTTAATACAACTTTAATGTAATATACAAGCTGGGTAATGAGTGATCACAATGACTTGATGATGGATGATTAGAGGCACTTCTTCTAAAGACCTCTTCTTATTCGTCAACTCCACGTTTTCTTGGGATCGATAATGACTTGAGGGCCAACGATATGAAAAGACAATAAGCTGTGGAATTCAATACTTGGAAATTTGGATAGAAGTCATGGAAGTCGTAAGAGTCGAGAGCCACATTCATCTTCATGAGCTGATTAGAGTTTAATTCAAATGAGAATCTGATATTCTCATAGAGGATCTACATATCTTTGTCCAATCCATAGTTGTGTTCAGACAGAGAGGCTGCCTCAAATTTCCCTTCTCTCTTTAGCAGAGGGGAGAGAACGCCGAGGGCAGTCACTAGGTTTATATTGGTCATTAAATGTCATTAGTTTTGCAGGTATTTCAGAATCACAGTCGGCTTCATTGGCCAAGGAATTTGACTTTGGTTTTCAAGGTTTTCTGTTGTTGCTGACACAGTTTCAAGAACAATTTTCAGAAGATAGATAAGACAAACAACTATAAAGACAACAAAAACATAAACTATTATGCGCATACGAGTAGAAGTCACTGTCCACGTTGAAGTCAAACTATTTCTATAAATTGCAAAACAGACAATAGTGCAAGAGTGCAGAGGTTTTGTTGGTTTATATACATACAGTAGCTGGTTATACAATATATCTGTAGTATATGCATGTATACATTTCTATATACAGTATATACTGTGTTTAGATTTATATTTGAAACAGCAACTGTTTTATAACTTTTAGGTATGGAGGATGTTTTAGTGACACAGGGATTGTTTTCTGGTATGATATGTGATTTGACTGTTCAGAAGGATCATGTCACAAGAAACTTTTGTCATAACTACTTGACAAATTAAAAAATAGACCTGTTGCAAATGTTACATGGAAAGTTAAGGGATCACAAAAGTTATTACAGTTCATCCTGTGGGGAAATTTCATGGCAAGGGAACAGGATTAATTGATTGGGGAACATTGGATATAAATTCTTTGAGCCAATCCAGCTAAGTAGATGTTTAGATATTTTGCCAGATGAATAGAAAACTTGAACCTGCTGGTGGCGCTAGAGGACAAGTCAGGATCCCCAGAGTTACCAGGATTTATCCTCTGGGCACCTTGAATGTCTGTAGACATTTCACCCACAAAATTTCAACCTCTTGGTTTAAATTCTAGAGAAAAAAGTGAAGGGATCGCCAAAGTCAGTGGGAGAACCATGAATGTTTGTAAATATCTTCAGTCAAATTCAGTCAGTAGTTGTGATATTTCGGTCTAAATCAAAGTGATGACCTAACGACTGAAAGATAGCATTGCCCTCCCAAATAACAACGCCGCTAGTGTGGCTAAAAATATATATGAAGAGAGATGGAACATCAAGCCAAAGGCAGAGCACAAAAAGACATACTGAGGTACAGAAACAAAACTGACAATGTAATTGGAACAAAAACCAAAACAGAAATTCAGAATAAAGGCCTAACTGAGGCTGTTCTGAAATATTTACAGAGCCTGACTCTATAATCTCCAGGGACTCATTTTTGGGATATATCAGGAAAACACAGCCTTGCCAGTTTTCAAAAGAACAATGGTTGGTATTTCCTTACTGGCAACAGGGACGTACAGTAAAAGTATAAGGACTTGGGTCTTGGTTCCATTAATGAGCAGGTAAACAAGTAAAGAAACATCAAAAATCAAAAATAAATCTAAACAATGAAAAAGATTTGTTGAGCAGCTATCGGAATAAAAGTGGTGTTGACAGAAGAGGACTTGGCTTTCAGCTGGCTGACTCCGGAAATCAATCCCAACGCTGGTGATTACGTCTGAACCCCCTGCTGCAGACTAACATGGACCATTGATTTCAGTAGAGGTGGTGGTGGGGGGGTGGGGGGGGGGGGTCGGGGCTGCAACACTGAAGAGCTGGGTTTGCTCAAGTAAAGTGCTTTAAAACCATTTGTTAGTCATCAGCAAACACGAACTGAAAAAACAGAGAAAATAGTCCATGGAGAGGAAAACTCTGGGCTATTTCATAGAGCACATCAGCCCCTGGCGCGGGGGGGGGGGTCAGTCCACCCCTCTGCATGTGCAGCATCCGCAGCGCTGACTGAAAGGGCAGGGGAAATGCAGTGGAGATTTTACATGGTGTAATGGCTGTGAATGCTTTTATCTCTCTACTAAATCACAACGGTAGCAGTCTGTGTTTTTTTTCTAGTGTTCTCTGTTTATTTGGTTTCCTGTTTGTCACAAGAGACTTTTTTTTTTTTTTTTTTTTTTTTTCTTTATAGACTTTAAAAAGGAGAAAAGACAGTTTCTCATTTTTCTAGGTCAAAGCGAATATGGACATTTATTTATGTCCTGAACACTTGTCTGATATAGGCTGATGTTGGGATGTCACTGAGATGTTTAGGAGCCTTGCAGGAGATTGAATACAGGGGGATTCTCCACTCTTTAAAGAGAATTGTAGATTATATCAGGCTTGACAACATATGTGCCTGACATGGCAGCTTCTTCTTGAGTAGCAGAGCTGTACAGGAACGTCTGAAGGAGGAAGTGTCTTGACAGAATTAAATTGCATTCCATTTGCTAAATTTTTCACTGGTTTATATATATATGAATCTGACTGGGAAGATGTCATGACACCGGACTCCCATAATCAGTCAAGGAAACTGAACATCCTATGTCAGCGTTTATTCTGCACAAGTTCTGTTGCCAATTATTGTCCTCAAGTGTATGGGCAATGGCTAACATGTGCATGCATGCTGACACATGTCTCTGCAGGGCTTTAATGGCATGAAATTGTGGTGTGTCGAAGAGTGCCTGAGCACAAGTAGGGGATATTTATAGTGCTTTTTTTTTTATTTTTTTATTTGCTGCTTTCATTACATTCTTACAAAACTCACTTTTAAAACATACTGCACACAATTTCAGTCTAATAAAGAAGCAGTTTTACAGTACAGAAGTTGAATGTACGTAGTGTTTGCTGTACATTTTGTTCTAATAGTGCAAACCAAAGAGTATACTTACTGTATAAATGAATGTATCTATACACACAAAAAAATACAATAACCTAAGAACAGAAAAGCAATATTATTGGTCAAACCTTGTGCTGGAGTGAGGTATTTTATCAGTTCCTTGCTGTTGTTCTGGCTGCATCATTCATATCAATAAATATAAATGATAAAAAAATGGCTATGTGATTAGACACCATAAAATCAAGAGTGTATCGTGACATATAGATTCCTTTATCACGTCCTCTTCATTACTAATAATGTCATTACTGAACAGAATAAAAAAATCTGAATCTGTGAATCACTAAGTGCAGAAATACAACAATGACTCAAAACAAAAGCAGGAAGACGGCTGGAAGTCTAAGCGCTGAGTATTTTAACAAACCCACTCAGCTGGTGTTCAAAAGGTAAGTTCATCCTTTTGGTTCTTAAGGCAAAAACAGAATCCCGACCTGTTGAATACCAAAGATATGAGTGTGTTTAAATGACTTTTCGCCGAGAGGAGTGTAGAAGCTTACTAGTCGTCCTTGTCGTCCCTGCCGACGTTAAACTCCGTTATCTCCTTCGCGATGCGTTCTGCTATCGCTCGGCTGCTGGCCACAATCAGCCTCCGAGACATCAGATCAAAGGCTCCACCTGGTTAAAAGGAGAAAATAATAACTGCTGTAATAAAGTTGAGAGTCATCTAAGAGACTTGTCATTTGGTCTGTGGTGAATTTTAAGCAGTTTTAAAAAAAAAAAATGTGTGCAGCAGTAACCTGAATAAAGCAGCTGACGGCCCAAAATGCACCGCTCCTGGAGGCTAGTTTTTCTGTGCTGTCAGTAGAGCTTAAGTGATTAATCTATTAGTTGATCGACAGAAAACTAACCTGACGATCAAATAATCATTCAAGGCCAAACTTTATCCAGTACCAGTTTAAAAAATGCGAGGACTTGCGTCTTTTCTCTTTTTTTATATCATTTCAAACTGAATAACTTTCAGGTTTGGACCGCTGATTTGACACAACAAACAACTGAAGATGAGAAAATTATCTGAAAAATTATCAATAAGATAATAGTCATTAGTTGCAGCCCTAGCTGTTGTGCTGAAGGATTGATTTGTGTGTCTAATTTCCTCATTACATCCATCATTATGCTGTCTCTCGTTTCCTGACAGAATATATTTTTTACATAATAGTCTCGCACTGTTTACTTTGGGTTATTATTTTTCTTCTTCTTCTTTTTCACTGTAAACAAACTTAAATCTGAAAAGTTACGCAGGTTCCTGCACAGCAAAGACACAGAGAATCTACAGGGTTTCTGCAGGACACACAGAGTCAGATTTCAGTCAAAAGACTTTTTAAAACCTTTTTAAATTCCACAGAGTGGGACACTTAACACATAACTATTCATCACTGATAGAATTAAACAATTCTAGTCATTATGTCGACAACTTTCTGGCTAATTGCGCCTCTTAAATCGATGATACAAACGTGTGCGTGTGTGTGTGTGTGTGTGTATAAAAGCAGATTAGTAAAAGTTTGGGCAATGAATATATGAGATCACGGTCTCTCTCCCATTTTCAAATTTCATATGAGATGGGATCAGGTTTTGAGAAGAGCAACTCATAACCTTCAGTTATTGTCACAGGAGGACGGGGGGGCAATAACTGACTGGACGGAGCTGTTTCACCTCACATCACCCCTATGAGATGAAAGTGCCTTGAAAATTGTTTGCACCACCACCTATACGCCCTCTATTATTGTACATTTTCGAAACACAGAAGGGGGTGTCTTTGCAGAAATCAAGGGTATGGTGGCTCTTTTTATAGCACCGCAACTGTCAACAGCACAGCTTCGACTTGGCAAACACTCATTAGCAGAGTCCAGTGCAGCTTCTACTGCATCCTAAATCTTTCGCCAGCTGTTATGGTCGGTGGCAGTGTTGCTTAAACTTAAGATCACATTTCTCAAATACTGCTGCTTCCCATTTTAAAAAGCAAAGCCGGTAGCTTCCCTCTCCTCATCTCCGACTGCATTTCACAGCCATTTGTGAGCAGAAAGAGACAGAAACCAATAATAACGAGAATTAGTAGCAATTAATTATTCATAAGCATTAATAGCTCCTGTTGTGCAGCCTATTCTCTTTGCTTTGTTCTATAAAGCAATTTTCTACAGCAACACTGCAGGTTTTCCACAAGTCAATCACCCTGCTCATCATCATCATCATTATCATCCTTTCATCAAGTATCTCAGCAGCCTTTGATAAGTTTCACAGACGTGGTGTGTTCGAAGAGCCCACACTTTCCCAGCGACTCACCTGAAATGTCCATGATAACGCCTCCAGCTTCAGTAACGACCGCCGCCCCTCCGGCCATGTCCCAGCAGTGGATGCCCATGTGGTAGTAAGCATCAGCCGAGCCGCACGCTACCAGACACATGTTGACAGCTGCGCTGCCCGGGGAACGGATTCTGTGGATGGAGACGGGATGTTTGCTCCGCATTTGGATGTACGTGAAGTCCAGATGGTTTAGTAAAAGTTTAGTGTGTGTTTGTGGATGTTTAAAGTTATAATCCTCACAGGATTCATGAAATCAAACTCTAGCATTTGGTATTCAGCTTCTGTAATTATCTCTCTGGTTGAAGCATTTTTATACACACGTTTTGATGTAAATGTTTTGGTGTTTTTGCTTTTTTTTTCATTGTGGCAGTACTAATGCAAACAGGAAATGTTCTCCTGCAATTTTTTATCAGAGCTGAAAAATATCCCTGAAAATGCAAACAGAAATTTTAATACTGCTGCTGCTTCACATCAGACAAACCAAGCCATTAGAAAATGTCACATTGAGCTCTGTGACAGGCTTTTTTCACCATTTTCTGTCTTTTTACAGACTAAACGGTTTGAGATTGGTATTGATCAATTGTAAAAGAAACGGCAGATTAATCAATACATAAAATAGTTTTTGCATCAGTGGACAATATCTACAATTTTGAAAGAAATAACAACAACAAAAAAGGAGCAGCCACAGTGAGCTGAAGGGTTACAGGTGACATAGCTCCTCAGTGGGTAACAGGTTTTACTGTGTCTTGCTGTTATGTGAGAAAGTGCTCACATTGTGTGCAGCATAAAATCAGACAGTGGTTCATAGCATGATGGGAAAAAAAGGCCAATTACTGACCGACTTCTCCTTTAAAATTTCATGAGTTTGGTTTACACTTGTTGTTCTTCTGTTGTATTATTATTATTATTATTATTATTATATGTTCGGTGTGGTATTAAACAACTACAGTTGTCACCGAATCAAACAGGACTGAGATGTTAAGGATTACAAGTGGTTCATAAACACATATTTACCCATGTACAGGGATGGTGAGGATGGCCTTGATGTTGGCCAACATTGTTTTGAATATCTCGGGATCCTTCTTGAAGCCCATTTCTGTCAGTACCAGAGACTGGCTGATATCTTGGATGGAAAAAAAAAAAGAAATAAAATATGACCATTCAACAAATGACAATCTGATTAAAAAGCCAGGTTGGAAAACACAGATATCACAGTGTTTAATGCAGAACTACTGCCTCTGAGATTTCACTGTGCACAGCTGTTATTGCATGCAGAGAATCTTGCTGTGATTTTACTGCTACCTGGTGGATTTCTTGCAAACTACACCACCAAAGCCTGATGTGATAATCAATATTCACCTTCTTGTCCAGACACTTTGATAGGGACTCCATTGCAGAATGCGCCTTTTCCTTTCCGTGCTGTGTACATTTTGTCCTCTATGCAGCTGTAGACAATCCCGAACTCTATCTGAGACCAAGAAGCAGCACAGAAAATAGCAGTGATTAATGCGGTGTGGGAGGAGCGCCAAGAATAGAACAACAGCCATGTAAATAGAGAAAAGTGCTGCACCACTGATCAGATATTCAATTGCTATGTTAATGTATCTTATAATTAAGATGCTACAATGTCATTTACTTGTGATCACAAAAGAAAGAAAGCTTACCTCTTTCTTCACAGTGAAGCCAATTGATATAGACACAAATGGGAACCTGCACAAAAGAAATTTACAATATAAAACATTCGTTTAATGAACTCCCTGTAGGTTAAAGCTCAGAGGAATCAGTTTCTATTATCAGTTCAGTTTCATCTACGTTGTCTAATTATCCCAGACAGAGAGGACAAGCCAAGAGAGAACCTAATTAAAAGATAAAAATAGTTAAGGAGCGACAAAGATAAAACTGATCCAGTGCAGTATCAGTATTGAGTTTCTCAGTGGTTCATACAGTATTTAAGCGCAGGCAGTAGCACCTGTGAACAAAGTTGGTGGTACCATCAATAGGGTCGATGATCCAAGTGGGATCGTCAGTCAGAACACTTGGTGCACCTGCAGCTACTGACTCTTCACCTATAAAGCTTCAAAAATCACAAAGACAAAAAAGAAACAAATGGTCATTTATAGTCATGACGTATTAAATAAAATGAATGAAACCATTGACACCTGATAATGTCTACCAGTTTTCTACTTGTCCGTAATATGTGACATTATTTTCAGCACAGTTTCTACCAGCCTGGATGCAAGGCTGTAGCTACCATGGAGTACACTGCGGTCATGTCCTCAGTATTTTTATATCATTTTGGGCGTTTGAGAATCTTGGAGATAGTTTACATCCTGCAGCTACACTCAGTGAACATTTGACAGATTGATTCCAGTATCTTAAGACTCCATATTTAATTTAGTCTACTTTTAGGCAAACATAAATGAAAGAACCAACAAATAAATAAAAGCCTCAATCAGTATCATCCCAATAGAATTTTACTCCTGTCAGGCTTTTAGATCTTCATATGTACAATTAACAATTAACAGAATAAATAAAATGTTTAAAATCCAAATTATTAAAATTTAGACACTTTATTTTTGTTTGTTTGTTCATTTGATTTCTTTTGTATTTGGGTTCTGGCTTATGACATTAATATTTGAACAAGCATTAACAATTAGACCAAGCACGAACTTGCTTGAAAACCATCCAGATGATAGAAAACTGTCATCCAGACTTCCAAGAAAAAAGTGAAATAAGTGAAATTAAGCATTAACTAGCATGAATTAGTAAAAACTAAACAAGTAAATAAATTAGAAACGGCACAGAAACTAGGATCTTTTAGAGACTGAATAAAAATATACAGATTATATGATAAACTACAGTATGATCAAGCAGTGCAGATCCCATCCCTCATGTCCATGTACCTGTGTGTGGGGTACTTCTCCTTGATGGAGGATATAATAAGCTGCTCCACTTTCTGGTCCGTCTCGGTCACCAGGTCGACTGGTGAGCTCTTCTGCATGACGGCGATGTCCTTTTGGAGCGCCTCACGGATCATCTGGCAGAAGTACGACAACAACAAACTCAGCGGGGGAATATTTTTTGGATGACTAACCACATCTGCAGTTACATACTGTTGACGGGTCAGAGATGATAAGGTGTAAGCTCCAAAGCCCAAGAATATTTATGTGTTGTCTTTATCGTGTTTATTACACATTACTGTAACTTTCTCCAAAACATAACTCACATTCAGTACAAAAAAAGAAAGACTTACTCTTTGCAGTCAGAAAAAAAAAATCTTGTTCAGTCTACCTTTATTTTTTCTTCTAACAAATCAGTTCCAGACTATGGTGACATCCTGTACATGCATGCATCAGACTCACTACTTTATTCTCATTCTGACTGTTGGATTACAAACTCATCACTGTAATTTACACATTAACTGGAAGGACATGACTGAAAACACAGAATAAGATTCATCTTTAAAGCTATTCTTGGTAAACTCCCCTTCTACCTCTATGAAATATTTCTCCATTCTCAAAAAGCTGTCTGACCAAATCATCAAAATGAATCCCATTGTCTTTTATGAACTTGGCAAAACCGCATTTATCATTCTATGCTGGAAGAATTGACAAGTCAAACTTCCCTTGGAAACACTACATTCAGTCAAAGAACTTAAACACCACATTCAAAACATGACTCATAAGGAAAGTAGTCATTTTAAACGGTCAAACTCTCCCTTTTATGCTTTTCAGAGGTGAGGTTATTATATTATTGTAAATCAGTTTTATGATTAGTTATGTGCAGTGCCATTCTGGCTAGGGTCTATCTTGTAAAAGAGATCATGTATACAAATATTATGGTTAAATAATGGATATAACGTTTATAATTGTACTAAGACATGAGATACTACTGCTGACACAGACATAAAAATGTATTTACAACATTAATCCAGCATGGCTAATGTTGTACAACATTTACACTCAAAGCAAATTAATTTGCAGACCATACAAGGAAAAAAACAGGTGCCTCCTTACCTCTCCAGCCTTTTTGGTGACCTCCAAACAGTGGTCCATACACTCTTTCCAAGGATCACTCATGTTGATATGGAGGAGCAGCAGAAACACTCACAGATAAGCCGAGACTTTAAAGGGAGTGTAAACACTTACAGAAGGATTTAATTAGCGTTTTAGGCTAATAGTTGTCTTGGATACAAGCCGTGAGCTAGTGCCTTGAAAAAACTACGGTAGATAATTAGGAGATAAATCTGTGCGGCGCGAACGATAGCTGTTTAGCTCAGTTAGCTCCCTATGCTAGTTAGCTCTTAGTTTTTACAAGGGGGAAACCGGAATAAACAGGGCCTGAGCTTAACGACAACCACGGCTTGAGATTTTAAACTGACGGTTTTGCTAGGCTGCTTTGTAATGAGTCTTATTTAACGTTAAAAAGAGCTACAATACAAGCACAGTTTCAATGGGGTAATGCTAACACACCCACCACCGGATAGGCTGACTTCTTCAGTGTTGACATTTAACTACGAGAGGGTGGGACTAAAGGCAACTCTCACTCTCATTGGTCAATCACTGCCGCTTGGATGTGAAGTCGCCGCTCTCATTGGCTGGGAAGCCTGTCATTCATCCTATAACATGAAATTCACTGACAAAAGAAAGTTCAGTCTTCCACTGAGAAAAAAAGTGCAAATAACTCAACACTTTCTTTCAGTTACACACAGAAGAAGAGTAAACAAGAGTGGTAGATGTTCTTAAACCTGAGTTAAACGCGACTTTAATTTATTAGACACTTTTAATCATTAGGTTTATGAATATGGATGTTACTGGGAGGTTGGACGTTTAAATATTGATATTTTACATAAACCTTATTTGTTTTTTAGAGTACTTTAGATTAATGCATATAATAGCATATAGTTTTTTGCTGAAAAATGTACACGTCATATGAGGAGGTGTGGAGGGTTACCATGACAAAAATCACTATGAATCGGTCACTTGGTTTAAAAAGTGTACATGTGATAAACATACAAAACCCCTTTAGTCCTGAAGGTGGCAGCAGTAACAGAATGATGATGACGATAATGCACATATGTTGGCTTCCTCTTATGGAGATGTCAAACACGAGACATGATGCATACAGACTTTTAGTGCTGCAAGCGACTTAAGGTTGAAAGCCAAGTCAAAACCTGTTCCCCACAAACCTGATGAAGCTTAACATGCAGATTCCTGTATGTGCAATTGCATACATTAACAAAATGAACTTCTTTGCTTCTTCTCTACGTGAAAGCTAATTCACTGCCCCTTCTCCTGGGCTGAGATGACAAGTTAAACCCGATGAAATCAAGAGAGTACCAAGCTGAAAAATATATAAGAGGCAGGAAAAATAATTTCTGTTGACATACAAATGGCTTTTATTACATTACACATTCTCCTCTTAAAATGATCAAACCTGCTTTGTCAGTTTTACTTATATGTTTACTGTAATATTAATTGAAATAGTCAATGGTTTTTGTATGTTAACAGAAACTACAGTGACTCAAGTGCCATGACACATTGGAAAACTAATAATTTCTTCTGCTTTACATTGTGAACCTTATTTTAACAGGCTGCAAAAATGTGGGAGAAAAGGAAGTAGCAGTTTGATAATCAATGTAAAGCTTCCTTTAACTTGAGTTAATTATTCACAAACTTCCTCTAATGGCAAGATGTTGGTTCTGCTTCTAAAAAAAAAAGAAGAAGAAGAAAACTACATATACTGTATGTTATAAGGAAGTTATTTTAATAGAAAATTTCAAGGCAGCTTATATAAGCATAATTCAGTTTGTCAATAAGAGCATTAAGGAACTGTGTGTGAAATTAGTACTTTTAAATTTGCTGCCTTCAGCTCCTGCTTCAGTATTTTGGCTCTGTTCAGCAGCCTTTTCTCTGAGGTTATATTCAGCCACTTAACCTCGCAGCGTTTTCTGTCAATAAGCTCGGGCAGCCCTATGGAGACGTTCTCCTGTTCTCCTGTGCAGAGTGCTAACAACGCAATTAGCTTAAAGAACACGGGGGCACTATCTCATCCATACCGTCTCGCAGACTTCACCTCAGACGGCATTAATCTCACTAAGAGGTGGCAGAAATTCAAAATCATTTTCTTCAAGCAGTTAATGAGATGTCTGGCAACGGTTAGGCAAACATTAAATCATATTCCTCCAACCTAGAACAATGCTTTGTTTTGATGTTTGAAGACAAGACAGTAAAATGGGAATCACATTCAGCCTGTCACAAGAAAGTAATTTGAGAGCAATTTTCTGTATACTTGGTGACAAACAGCATGAGCTGAGACTATCCAAGGTCTCTCTTGGACTATCTTACAATTCTTTTATGGACGCTACACATATTAACCCAAAGCAAAAATAAAAACAGAGAAGTATCAAATGCAGAATACCCTGCTCTCACAGCCGTCACTTACAAATACTGTCTGTCACCTTCTTTTGACAGTTAATTGCAACATGCCCCATTGGCAAATTGGCGATATTTTGAAAACATAAGAAGTCGGTTACAAATGTATCATTTCCTCATTTGTTTTATCACAATCCAAAAGGTAGTTCCATATTTGCATGGCAACAAGGTGAAGTTTGAGACCGTTATTATAGGCACAGTTTTTTTATCTAGACTGACAATGACAGTTTTTGTCATAATGTTTACCCTGTTCACCATCTTATTTCAAGGTTAGCTTGCTAACATTTGTTAATTAGCAGTAAATACAAAGCACAGCTGAGACGATGGGGATGTCATTAGCTTTGCAAATAGTGGAAAAGTGGAAAAACTTTGAAGATTTCATGGCAATCCATCCAACAGAGGTTTCACTATGAATCAGAGGAAGAAAAGTCAGGGGATCACCAACATTGGTAAGAGTCCTCCTCTTGGGACCATGTGTGTGTGTGTACACAATTTCATCGCACAATTTCATTCCCATGGTTATTGAGATATTTCAATCTTCACTTGGATTAATCCTCCTAAATTACCCCAAAATGCAATTATGTGAGTCTGAGATTTTGCACACAGGCTTCAGACAAAGGAGCAAACTAACAGAAGTAAATGCATAGTCTACTGCAGATTCATAGAGGGAAGAAAAAGACTAAAGTAAAGGAGTTAGAAACTTGTGCAGTGCATTATATCGACTGGCAATAAAGAAAGGTTCCTTCAATCAGAAATGAAGGGTTGTTGACATTTGTTGCTCAACCACATCCAGTAATGGAAAAGTACTCAAGTCCTCAAGTATCACTAACACAGTGCAATAATACATATATAAACCATATTTAGTAAAAAATGTACTATTAAGGGACTTAGAAGAAAAATGTCCCAGTTACAATAATGTTGCAGTCGTGTTACTCCATGATACTGCTGGTGTATCTTTAAAAAGGGGGCGGTGATGTGAAAAAACACACAGCCATGCTGCTTCCCTTTATTGAAAATAAACATTAGCAACCCCCTGTGGACATCTAAGGTTTTACAAGAACACTCAAACAAACTGAGCACTGATGATGAACAGATACTGACAGAAACATAAGACACTATCCTCAAAATAATGCTGGAGGGTTACTTTGGAGACATAGCTACATATTGCCATAATTCAATGTGTGCAAACATCAACTTTTATTTCTTCCTCCAGCTCATGGCACTGTGTCTCAGGGGACAGCGCACCCTCTGTGTGGATAATGGCGCCGTAATGGGAGTCATGTGGATCTATTTGTTGCAGCAGGATACGAGGGGGAAAACATCTCATCTGTCTTTTAAGAATGTCTCTGTGGGTTGGTGAGGAGCTGTGTTTGTCAACCTACGAAGACCAGCCTCTCTCAGGCATGTCAACCATTAAGCCCTGAGAGGAAGGTCCACATCACATCACATCACATCGCACCACACATCCAACGGGACTCAAGTTTGGGGAAGAAAGCGTTTCACATCACAGCCATGCAGCCATCCGTTGCACCCTAACCTTCTGCAAGGGGATTGGTGAGCAACGACTTCGGAGTTTAATCAGACAATTACAAAACTTGGGCTTGTGTACCTATTTATTCAAACAATATTTAACGATTGCGTGTGCAGAAATATGTGTATCTTTTGTGTATCTCATTGAAATGCTAGAAGGTTTATTGTTGTCTAAAGGTCACCGTTTGTTCAACTCTCCCGGAGGTTGATTGAAAAGCTGCCAGTGACATTGTGATTTTGAACACGCCACAACATTATTAGATTTCAGTCCATCAAAAAACACACCTTAAGAGTTCAGTGGAAAGTCCCTGCTTGCCTGGAGTCAAATCCAAAACTGACACAATGGTTTTTTTTGCTGCTCAACAGTAAAGGCAGATTAAAGCATGAACAAACATCTTGCATCTTTGTTGAGGAGCAACAATGCGGCCCACGGTCTCGCCATCACGACCTCCTCTAAAACATGTGTGACCTTTGTAATAGTCAACGTGACGACATGTAAGTAATTCCTCCTGACGTCCCTGCTTTTCTTCCCTTTCTCTTCCTTCATATACTCCTCCTTAAAATGTGAAAGATAATGTCGTCTTTATTCTGTGTTTGTGTCCATTTCAAAGGGTTTATTATGCTTCTGCTCTGCCCCTGTCAACTGAGAGCACAGCTCGGGACAACCCCCAACATTAAACACATCGTGGTTGGAAGGTGTTACAATTACATCACTCTCGTTGACCCCAGCTTAAGGTAATGCACTGAGCGGAGATTTATCCTCACGTCACAGCATTTTCTGATCTTGCAAATTTGACGACGATCAGATGAGAATTCACATCCCGACTTTGACTTTGACACCAATGACTCGAGCCTCAAAAGACTTGAAAGACTTGATTTCCCTCCTAATGTCCAAAGCAAAAGAATTTTGGCTGGAACCAGCGGCTCATTATGAGGCCAGTGTTGAAGCACACATGACAGGCTGTGGCACTCGCTTTGATGTGATGTTGACTCAGAATTTTTCTTTTATGTGCTTCTGTATAAAGAAAGAAACCGAGGCAGAGATGGCAGCATGAAAAGATGTTTTATTTCATGGGAAATTCTAGGTTATTTTCTTTCACCGCTTGATCTATAATCAGCGGTATTTGCTTAGTTGCCTTTGAAAAGACCTGATATCCTATTTCGTGTCTAGTTATAATACATTTTATCACTTTTGTTGTATCACAAAAGGAGCCTACATTTTTTAAATGGCATTGAGTTTTGTGAAGAAAATAGTCACACCCATTATGGCCTTGAAACCAAAAAATTAGCTCTTGGGATTTGACTTGGGAATTAAATATCTACACACAGTTTTTTGTTTAGAACAATGAGTTTCCCCACCCGACATAAACATTGGTCTATAAAATGTATTAAAATGTGAAAATTGTGCAAATATTCTCGTTTGAGAAGTTTAGAAAAGAAAAATGAGGCATTTTCTTTAAAAAAAAAAAAAAAGTCCTAAAAAATTAGGATTATCAAAATAGTTTTAAAAAATAAGAAAAAATGATTTCTTCTGTTTGTGTAGGTATGACTGTGAGGAGATCTGGAGACAGTTCGAGGAGGCGGTTGTCCGTCAGTCCTCTTGTAATGTGACGGTGGAGGATTATCATCAGATGTTTTATGCAATGCCACAAACCTGGCCGTGTGATAGGGTGAGCAACATTTGAGATTCTAGCTCCTTCATCATTTTTAATTGATACCTAATGGGACGGAACGTATTCGAGTTATATTTCCCCTCCTCCTGCTATAGTTTCTCTTCTGGAGTAAAACCAGGGCACTGATGCACAGCTATGCAGCTGTTGTTCGTCACTTCTGGACACTGGAGGACACACTGGTTGGCTTCATGTTCAATGACCTCATCTGGTGCGGACAAGACGAAGACCCTGGTAAATCTTTTTTTTCAATTAAAAGAGTCAAAACACTAAAAATATACATTATCCTCTTTCCTGTCCAATTAATTATGTCACAGATGTATCTTGTGACCACTTTGCAGTAAGTCAATCATGATGTAACTTTTTCTGTAAATGTATTTGTGACACTGAAAAAAAACCAAACAATTTTACATAAACTACTAAAATGAAAAAGACACAAAACCAAACAAATGAAAGTAAATTGAATATTAATTAGTTATCAGTGAGCTTTAGAGCTGCTGATTGGTGGATTTTTGCCACATTTAGATGGAGCCAGGCTAGCTCTTTCACCTTGTTTCCAGTCTTTATGCTAAACTAAGCTAAGCTAATCAACTGATGGCTGATCAGGGGGCAGGTTGCACAAAACACCCTCAGTTTTCTACAAGGTTTCATTTCTCATTAGCTAAAAGATTTTACAGCGATAAAATTCTACTACATCATTAAGGGTGTTAAAGTGTCAGAGGTACCTTTACTTTCTTTAGTGAAGAGAGATTAACCTGCCTACTGCACATCATCCTCCATTAAAATCACCTAAACTTGTTTTTTCTCGTTATTCATTCATGCCTCGTTTTGAACATTATGAATGACACTCTGCTTCTTGTAACTGATGGCTGTGAATTTGACACACAGGTTTTGATTTCAGCTCCTGTCCGCAGTGGTCAGCGTGCAGAAACCACCCAGTGTATTCCTTGTGGAGGCAAGCCTCTCAAAAGGCGAGTTTAATGTCATCACCGCTCTACTCTGCTGTCTGTGTTGCTCATCATTTACATGCGACATACTGTTCCAAAACCAGCAGTGGAATATTGTTCCCATGTGAATTTCCTCATTCATTTGTTAGTTTGCAGAAATGGCATGTGGCAACATCACTGTATTACTGAATGGATCTATTGTCAACGCCTTCAACAGGAACAGGTAAATAAAATAAAATAAAATAAAAACAACAAATGAATGTGATATGTTTTGCTGGCAGTGTTTGTTGAGTTTGTAATAAAATAATCTCTTTTTTTTTTTTTTTTATCTCACAGCATGTTTGGAAGTGTTGAACTGGACAGCCTGAATCCCCAAAGGGTGGATTATGTCAACATTAAGGTGGTGACCAATCTCGAAGGACCATATATGTGAGGATAAAAACAACTGATACTTGTAATACACGTGATTTTCTTACTAATCCTGTATAGATTAGCTATAAGCCATTAACTAGCCATGAATAAGAGCAAGGTTGGGTTTGCCAGGTTGTGAAAAATCCCTCTGCACTTTTCTGTTTAGCTCTTGAACTCATCATTAGGGGGCGGTCCACTTCTGGAAAAACCTGTTGTAGTCAGGACCAAACTACATTTATAACCTTTAAATGTTTTTTTCTAAAGCTATTTATCTATTCATAGATACATGGCCGCACTATTTTGGAATGACAAGAAAGTATCTTGTTGTACCCAAGTGTTAATGACAATAAAGTTTATTTAATGATTGAATTCAACAAATATAATGGAGATTTTATCAGCGCCCGGCAGCTCAAATGTTCGTATTCATAAACATTATTGACATTGCCATTAGTTACAGCTTTTAAGCCCTTTATAAATGGCGGCTCCATAAAAGAATTCACATTCACAGTTCAAGTTTGAACTTGTTGTTTTTCTCTTCTACAGAGAGTCATGTAGTCAGGGATCAGTTTTAGACTTGATCCAAATCCTCCAGTCTAGAGATTTCCACTGGACGTGCACAGACAACGAACAGTAAGTGAAATCCAACAGTTCCTCCAAATAAAACGATCCAACACTTATTTTCCCAGTTGAAAAATAAATCCATTATATAACACGATTAAGGTTTGATTACATTCAGGGAGAGGTCAGGATCTGACGCTGTTGTTCCCAGTTCTCTTGACGTCTTGATAGGTGGACACGTAGAGTGTGAGCATGTATACAGACGCTGTAATGAACTTCCTGATGAAACTACGCTGCAGTAACAGAAACCGTATCTCTCCACAGGACCCTGATGATCCTTCAGTGTATCCAGGACCCTAAACAGCCCTCATGCCAGACATGTGCAAACAGCCTGTTACACAGAAAGAGCCTCACGTCCGACTGAATCACCCACATGTTGAACGAGTAGTTTGCTATTGTTAATTTGTAGTTTTACACTCAGTGAAGCTGGATTTAAATAAGATGATGATATTGTAAATCCACATTGCAAATAAAGTAATAACCTGTAACTAGACAGAGGTCAGACACCAGACTTAAAGCAGTGTTTTCTTTCATTTCCATTGATCCAATTCATTAGCAGATAAGGTCTATGTAATGATTTTAATTAAATGGCCAAACAGCAATTTCATTCAGGCACATAAAGACAGTACACATCATTTAATTAGATTGGTTAATTGGGGTCGAGCAGCTCATTTTTGGGGCCTAATAAGAGGCAAATCCAGCCATGTCTGAAACACCCATCTCCCACCAAGGAAATACTGCAGACCCTGAACATCCTGTTTTTGTTTTGTTTTTTTTCCTGCGCTCAGTTTTCAGGCTGGAACACACCCATTCAGATGCTATTTGCTTTATCCTCTTTATTTGTTTTTATTTCACAATAGGTATATCCTGGTGTTATCAAAGCCACTAGGGTTTGGTTTGAACTTGAAACCACAACATACTTAAGGTAATAAATGTAAGTAATTTGTGATACTACATTATTAGAGCAGGAAGCGTCCACCAAATTACATGCTAGTGTTAGTGTAGAAAACAGATGTATAACCAGTTTACTGGAATGTTTAACCTTTGCTTTTGAGCCTCCTGCTTGTGCTCAAACGTCTGTGGCATTTCCCAACATGCTCACTGTTGATAGTTATGCCATGTCATTTGATTTACAGCCCACACAAATCGTTTAAAACATGACTTCAGGCACTTCACCCAGCTATTATAACAGCTCTTTATTATTAAACTACTTGGGAGAAACAAAAACAAAAATGGCTCAACGAAAGAAACGGTTCCAAACTCGTTTATGCTGCTCCACAGGTATATTTTTGTGCAGTCTGACTGTCTGAAGCGTAGTGCAGGCAGGTGGAGATCCTTGTATTCAAGGCTGTAGCTGCCATTAGGTCATGTCCCCAATATTTTTAAGAATTTAAACTAACTAACTAATTAACTAACTAACTAACAATTTTGAGGTACTTGTACTTTACTTGAGTTATACATCTACAACATTTCAAAATGTTAATAATTTATTTTTCACTCCACTAAATTTTTTTACTTTGCAGATTGTGACTTATAGTATTGTAAATATAGTATATTGTAATATTATATAATAAATATAGAGGCCTATATAAAAAATAAGTAACCCAACTTTTACCAGCTGCAACATTAAAGTACATTTTAATGCAAAAAAAAAAAAAGTAAGGCTTATACTTATTTATTTTATTTTTACTTTAGTTTGTAACGGTCTTGAAGTGACCCTCGACCTCAGCTCCACCATGACAGAGATTCGAGATTCCTTCACGAACCAGCGCACGCGCCCGTCTCCATAAATAGACGTCCGGGCGCGAGCGACGTTGGGTGTCAACAAGCGTCCACAGCAACTTACAAACGTCCACCGGAATTTACCCGGAGTTTCAAGTTTAGGGGACTTTTAAATGGAGTATACCGGAGGATACCGACCTCCGGATAAGAGACAGCGGAGACGCTGCGTCATTTTAAGCGTCATCTTTGTCCTAGTTATTATCATTACACTCGCTGTTACGCTGACACTGACGCTACGTCACAATACAGACCAACTAAAACCAATTTTTATTGATAGGTGTAAGAAATTCAGCAGGTAAGTGTTTTCATTTTTTAAAGTTTATGTGCAGAATATTAAGTATAAAGTTAAGAGCAGAGTCTCAGCTTGGTAATATAAAAAGGAAACAATAAAAACTGTGTAATTTAAGATATGTTATGTCATATAAATATATGTGCTTAAATTGTTTACTGGATACCTACAACTAAACCTAATGCTGGAGCCCTGCAGTCAATCCCACCTCCATGAATGTTAGAGGGGGGTGTTGATTCAGAGGGGTGTTGATTCATGTGTTTTGGGAAGATGTAGATTGTGGTGCTGTTGAATTATGTTGCGTTCAAGGCTATATTATTTTGTAAAGTCCATCTAAATAGGCTGTTTATCACTGAGAGAAAGCTAAATGATAGAGAAACACATCTCTGCAGAGGGAAATAACCCTCAACGGCACCACAAACTACACTCTACAAAATGAGCATTAAGTTCAGGTGAACACCTCTGCACAACAGTTTCAAGAAAAACATTATTATCTTCATTGTAGACTTCAGTGTCCTACAGATAAAAATGTCTGAAAGTAAATTCGATGTTAAAGTTGAAGGTCTTTTTGTTAGTCCAGGCAATGATTAACTCCCGTGTCTTGTTTCTGCACTGCCTGCAGATACTGTTCACTGGATAAACAGTGTCATGATTGATTTTTTTCTGGATTATTCATTGTAATTAAGCTAATATTGACCACAAATATGAACTGGACATAGTGTGTAGGGTGTAAGTTTTATTTATAATAATAACTTAATATAGTACTTTAAAAAATAATAATAATAGTGACAAAGAGCTTCACAAAAAAGTCATAAAACCAACAGATGTAAAATCAGTGTCCACTTCATTAGCTACACCTGTCCAGGCTAATGCCAGGACAGTTTTTCCACCATAATATCAAGCTATTGTTGACAATGTCATATGTGGTTTTAGCATTGAGGACAGGTGCTGTACTAAACTGCATTACAGGGAGAGGTATGTCTACTATTCTGCCCCCCTCAAGTACGTAAACTGGACAAAAACGTCAAAATAGCTTTACGCTGTAGTGCAGTACAACACCGGCCTCAACTGTGACTGCAGCAATAAACATATACATTTACACATTTCCTAGACTTCAGCAGTTTTTATCTGAACGAGGCTGTGCTCATTTTGCTGCATTATCTGTTGTGATAAATTCACATTTACTGATAATATGGACTGGACATACTGTGTCAGGTACTTCCAAACCCTGATACCGTGTTCTTATCTGAAACTGTTTCTTTACTTTTAAGGGAAGGGTGAATACTGTGTTTCCCCATGTCAAAAAACACAAGTTAGTTGAGGAGAAGGTTGTACTTTTTGGGCTTCCATATTCCTGAGACTAAGCAGAACTGTCACTTACTTTTCAGAAACGACTGTGAAAAGATATGGGATGTATTTAAACAGGCATACGTAGGGAAGGACCCTTGTGAAGTTCCCATGGAAGCCTATGATCCTCTCATTGCTGCCGCCCCCTTCAAACCTCAGTGCAACAGAGTAAATATCATCATCTATCTTAACAAAGAATAATGTGTTTAATATTGTGATATGAACTGTTTTTTGTTTTGTTTGTCTTTTTGTGTGTGTGTTGGGGGCTGGGGGGGGGGATTAGATGATGTTCTGGAGCAAAACAAAGAATCTGGTCCATAAATTCACTGCAAACAGAGATTGTTTTCTGACCCTGGAGGACATGCTGTTGGGATCTGTCCTGGATGGTCTGACCTGGTGTGGAAAGGAGGGCAGCAGTGGTAAGACTGAGTTTACTATTTGCCAAATACATGGCCAAATTACTTTACATCCAACAACAACAACAACAACAACGTCAAATATATTCTTCTTCGTCAGGCAGCCACCATCACATACTCAAACTGTTTGTAGTGCAGGTGTTGGTTGGTGTTGGTAGTTTGAACTACTTATTCAAAGTAGCTTTATTTAATCAAGCTTTGCTTAGCTTTGCTCTAAATCAACTTCTTCCAGTTTGAAGTAATTGGTAGATTGCAAAGCTTTCAAGTTTTCAAAGTAGCTTCCCCAACACTGACAATGTGGTACAGCAACACCTTAGGTCCAAAAAATATCATTAAATCATATACTAGCAGCTACTGCCACTCACTAAACACCAAACAAACAAGATCAGCCAGATTCTGTAACAGCACTTCTATCAGAGGGTGATAGATAGAGTTATATAAGAATTCATTGTTGTCACTGTATGCTAAATACAAAGCTAATACCAGCAGCCGGTTATCTTAGATTAGCACTAAGACTGGAACCAGCTAGCTTGGCTGGGGACAGTAACTTTCACAGTGACCACAAGACTCCAGGAAGTTGCTTCGTCCTTATTAATAGTCTGTCACAGTTTTGGCACAGATTAAACAAGGTGTGCATTTTCCAGTCTTTGAGCTAAATTTAACTAACTGTCTTTTTATAATCCCATTTCCCAAAATGTCAAAATGTTCCTTTAACTCCTTAAATTTATTTATTATTCTCCTCCAATAGATACTGTAATTGTATGAACACAATTATGCATAAAGGTTTTATGTTTTTAATACCTGTTTTCTGTTTCCTTGTGGGAATGTGACATCCTGAGGTTTCTGTTTTGTCAGTGGCTCACCAAAGCAAACTCCTATCAGCTACACAGAAATGGAAATAAAGATCTGAATGTGTTTGTGTGTGTGTGTGTTGTTCTAGAAACATTCACAACCGGCTGCCCAGGTTGGAGCGAATGCGAAAACAACCCGGTTCGCTCATTTTGGAACCGAGCCTCAGCTGCTGTAAGTTACCGACAAGAATTCACCAATTTCTTTGCAAAGAAAAAAAAAAAAAAAAGCAAAGGATCAAGCTGTGGTTAAAATAGCACATATGTGGAACATGAGGTACAGCAAATCTCTCCTGTGTATAAGGGATTATGATGGAGAAAAAGAAAAAGGTCACTCTGCCTGGTTCTTCATCAATGAGGCTTTGTGTTGGTCTCCATGGAGCCACATTGTGTAGCTCTCTCCTGAGTGAGCAGCAGCAACCCACACAATGAGAGGAGCCCTCACAGATTTACTCCAGCTTCTGCTGGCATCTTTAGAAAAGCAGCTCAGCAGCTGATGTGAGGCAAATCTGACCTTACATCGCGTTTTCACTACACACAGGTGTTTCCTCAAAAGTGCAGCAAGACAATATGTCAAAATCTTACAGGAATCTTACAGATCCTTTATAAGAGTAAGGATAGTAGTAAAAAGGAGAGAGTTTTCGCTTAAACTGATTTGTTTAAGAATAGGCCCTGCTGCATCTGTAATCACACTTAACCAGCCTGCAGCAAGACGTGAACTACAACCTTCAGCTGCAGAAAGGTCACTCCAAAATTAATATTGAGAATACTGTCGGACTGAAACAGCTGATCTGCATAGTAACCATAGACTGTAAACAAAGAAGGGTGACGTCACCCATAGGTTTCTAAAGAGCGGTTTTGAAGCTACAGAGTGAGCTGCTTTGCCATTGCCATCTTGGCAGTGCCTGACTACGCCCCTGACTCCCAGCTAATCAAACAAAGAGATGGGGCGTGTGTGGAGCCGAGACTTCGCTGACCCACCTGTCACTCAAAGTGCCACCAGGCTATAGAACTGAGTCTTAGTGATGTTTAGCATCCAACCTCACACGTCCTGATGAAAACATACAATATACCTCCCATTAATTAGAGCTGTCAACTATTAAGTTATTTTTCAAAATGAGATGATGTTTTTTTTTTTGTTTGTTTGTTTTTTTTCAAAGTCCAAAGTGCCTTTTAATTTAACACCCTCTTCATGTGTGTAGCTTGCAGATGTTGCCTGTGGTGATGTCACAGCAATGCTAAACGGATCCATCACCACACCGTTCAGTCCCACGAGGTAAGCAGCTCTGCACTTCCTGTGTTGAACAGTCAGTGAGAACAGTAAGAGAAGACATACATCTTTTCTAATGTTCATGCAACATTTTGACAGGGACAGATGCACTTAGGATGTCAGAAGATGTGGTCAAAGCAACATTATACAAGTCTGATCTCAATACTACTTTCTTCTTCGTTAGCAGACTTTCAGCTGGGAGATTTATTCTAGTCTTGATGGATGAGGCGCCCGTCAGTTTCTTTGCCTTCTCTGTAAATCAATCAGTAAAGCTGTGCTCTTGCTATTCCTGCCACCTGCTGGACAAACTTTGGAACTATAGTCTCATGTAGTCTGCAGCTTATGATTAGTTTCATTATCAGTCAATCGGCAGAGTATTTTGTTGATTAAGCATTTAGTAGATATAATGCTGGGAAATGGTGCATATGCACATCACAGTTTCACAGAGGCAGCTTGTTTTGTCAGAGATACACTCTAAGAGAAAGCAGCAAATCCTCTAGGGGATGTTTGAAAAATGCCACAAATTATAATATTTATGATATGATGATTTACGATGGTTAAGGGTTAAGATTAGGGTGTGTGAAAGCAGGGCGCTTGCAGAATCTTTTTAAATTTCATTCAATTTTACTGCATTGTATAACTACTGCAAACATTACATTTCATTTGAAATGTATTCTCAAACACTTAAGGTTTGTCCTAAAAAAAAAAAAAAACAACAAAAATATAAGTCTACATTTTCTGTGTTTTTGAAATACTGACTTATGATTTGAGAATTATTGTCTTTGTCCAAAACAATACCATAAGTGAAGGGACTGTTTTACTGTTTTGCTTATTTGCCTCCTACTGCAGGTATTTACATGACAAAACAAGTGAATTATAAGAGTGTGAAAGTACTGTATAATGCAAGTTGAAGTCTCTAAGTTGTGCTCTTTTATTCCTGCTGTCAGTGTTTTTGCGAGCATCGAAGTTAAGAGATTTAACGCCACCAAGATGAAACGCCTGAATGTTGTGCTGGTCACGCAGAAGAACGCTGTGTAAGATGAAGACTTTTGCAAAACAATTTTCCTCCTTTTTTGTTCATTTTGAATGTAATAAATACATGAATGTTCTGCATCTTCTTCCACGGTGGTTATACACAACATTTGACACACAAGACTGCAGACAAACTTACACTCACACTGGGAAAATTGATCCTAAAATCATGTTTTTCTGTATCATTTGTGCTTTTCTTCTCTTCAGCACAAACTGCACAAATGCATCTTTAAAGGACTTACAGAAAGAGCTGGATAAAGGGATTAAATATAACTGCACCGAAGTGACTGAGTAAGTACAGCATGTGTGCGTGAGACAAGGTGATCACATGTACGTTTCTTTTATCACACAGTTTGTTGACTTGGTTTTATTCTGCCTCTGTTTGTAGATTTCAGATTGAGGAGTGCAGCGACCACCCAGAGAAACCGTGTGGCTCCTGTTGGTGAAAATGTCAGATAACACACAACAACAACCAGCTGTCTACAGTTTGTTTTTGGGAATCACTGAATGTGCTTTATTTATCTTTTTTGTAGATTTAATTCTTTTCAAACACGTGGGCCAGTTTGACTTAATGTGAAATGTGTCTTTTTACATAAAATTTAAGTGGGCATTTTTTACGATGTGACAAAGCATGTCCGTATTTTGTGGTAAAAAGGTTCATGGTGTGATGGGGAAGCTTTGCATCAGTTCTATTAAGGGTTGTGGTTAAGTGTCATATACTGTAAGGAAGAGCACCACTGCTCCTATCTAATTATGTTCAACTGACAATCTCCTGCCCGGTGTAACACAATTTACAATATTTTTTTTTTAATTAAAAGTATAAATATGAGGCTGTGAAATTGTCTTTGGATACTAAAGCTGGATAATGAAAAAAAGATGAATAAGAACAATGTATTTGATGAGATGGGTTTTTTTGTATTTGAGTATGTGTGTATATAAAATCAATCTTGATTGATTGTTGTCAGATTAAGTTCATAAAAAAGAACAATGTTTGTATTTTTTTATAATACTAAAATATTGCACTTACACCTTTTTTGCTAAACACTTTGAAACAAATATAAAACAGTTTTTGTCTCTGTTTCACTTTCTAACTATCAACATGTGGCTTAAATGGGAAACTTCTTGTTATGTAATCTGTCATAAAAGAAAATCATAAAATACTGACATCGATGCAACTATAAAAACTGTCCCGGTATAATGATTAACCTACAATAAAATAAGGAAAGTGATATGGTTTTATTGCTTGGGCTCTACCTTCACAGCTTACTGGATTTAAAATGAAATAGTAAAGTTGAACTAAAGACCTTCATCTTTTAAGCTCCACACAGGCAGTTGTGCATGTTTCAGCCCATTCATTTCTGCTGGCCTTCATCTGTTTCCCAAAGCATGCAAGTGGCAGTTGCAATCTTTTTCTCCTGTCGTCTAGATGCCTTGAGTTCCAGTTCACTTTGATTTAATTCATGGTAGAAATATACAGTGGGGCTTCAGAAAATAGTCAGATCCCTTCATTGTTGCACACTTTACTGTGTTTTTAGTTTTAGTGTTTTAGTGTGTCTCCACTCAGCAACCCTTAATGACAAAATGAGAACATGTTGTAGGACGCTATATGAAGTACGAAAATGAAGCCATTTGTAATTTGTGATCACAACACTGTAAGTACAGCACAGTAGTATCAAACGTCCAATAATAAATAACTTTTATAATATTATGATAGCTGGCATCCTTTGAACATGGCCTTTGAACAGAGCTTTATCTATAAGGAGCAATGAGCCGCCACCTCCAGCCCCACTGTGAGCGTGAGAGTTTTCAATAACACCTCTCAACTTGTTCAAACCTTTTGGATTTTTAAATAGAGAAACAAAAATGTCTCCGACTATGATCGGGATCTGCGTTCTTGCTGCTCTTGCAGTGCTTGGCATTATTATTGGAGTCCCACTGGGACTTTACCTGCCTCGGACGAAGCAGTTCAGAGCAAATTTCATGTACAGATGTGAGAAATTCATGGGGGAAGGAAAAAAGTAAGTGTTTGTACTAGATAAAGTTTCAGTCCTTTTACACTTCAGTTCAGGTTTGACACTTGTGCTGCTCTTTCGTGAGCTTGACACCAATAACCTGTTGGTTTTAATGAGTGAGAGGGATGTCAGAACAAACTAAGGTAGATTCACATTTCACATCATAAACACTTGTTATTTATTTTTCAGGGACTACTGTCAAAATGCACTGAATGTCTTTGAAGGAGCCTACGTTGGGAGACACAAATGTGATGTTCCTGTGGAAAACTATAACTCCTTAATGTCTACGGTCAAGTTCGATCATCCATGCAGCCAAGTAAACATCACAAATTCTTGTACATTACCTAATCAGAGCTAATTTCCAGAGAATAATACATTCAACAATGTGATATGAACTGTTTCTGGGTTAGATGACGCTCTGGAGCGACACAAAGGATTTAGTCTCTCGGTACACCAAGAATAATCCAGGCTGTTTTAACCTGGAGAAAACTCTACTGGGATTTGTCCTGGATGGTCAGAGCTGGTGCGGAAAGGAAGGCAGCAAAGGTAAGATCCTTCAAATGCACAGTTTGCAATGTAAAAACATCCCCTTAAGTACAATGGTGACAAATCTGCAGATGACAAACAGTATCTTATTCTGCCTGTTGAAGCTGGCAAGACGTTCATTAAACACACAGACCGAATCTACATATTAAACCTTTGTCCATCCTGAGGTGTCTGTTCTGTTTTATGTCAACAACTCACCGAAGCAAACTCCAACCAGCTCCATCGAAACACTAATTAACATTTGAATGTGCATGTGTGTGTTGTTCTAGAGACATTCACAAAGTTGTGCCCAGAGTCCAATGGCTGTGTGAACAGCTCTTATCGCTCATTCTGGAGGAAAACCTCGGCTCAAGTAAGTGCCCAACAAGAAATCCAAACATAATGTCTGAATGTCTTTACCATCATGTCTTTATGTCTCTAGTTTGCAGACTATGCCTGTGGGGAAGTCACTGCAATGTTAAATGGAGGCAGAAAAGAACCATTTGATCCCAACAGGTGAGCACTAAACTCCCATTTCTCAACAGTTTTGTGGAACTTAATGAAAAACTGGAATTACCGCCTCGTGGTTGTCTGCCTCCTCCACTCAGACGACTTTCAGATTACATCCCTGTTTATCCAGAATCATATAATTTAATTCATTACCTTGTAGAAGGCAGAAACAGAAATCCTGAAGTCTGTGAGAGTCTGAGTCCCTGTTGAAAGGATTTCTTCTTCTTCTTTTTGCTTGTAGTTGTTTTGCACTTGAGGTAAAGAATCTAAGAAGCTCTGTTGTGAGTCGCCTGAATGTAGTTCTGGTCGATGGAAAAGAGTAAGTTTAACGTTTTTTTCTTGTTGTTTCTCGTTGTTATTTATCATTATTATTAGTTTATTATTTTTTATTTTACTGGTCTGCCATTACCCAATTATATCTTGAACCATTTTGAGACCGTTATTTCATTGACTTCAGTTGGTTGTGTTGAGTTTATTATTGACTTATATGAATTCCCATGAAAGAAATTGCTCCATTTAAACCGCTGTGAATATTTATTTATTTATTATTGGAAACTTTATCTACATTTATGCTGAATTTGAAACACAGCTGTCCTTGGAATAGATGTGTCATGGTGGTACTATCTTAGCATTTAGAAATAACTGGAACTGATCCCACGCAGGAGATTATGTGGAAATAAATTGGAGTTCAGTGACGCATTAAAACAAAGTATTACTTATGAATTTTTCTAAGAACTGTCATTTTTCTGTGCATTTTAGTCAGATGTTTGTAAAGAGCAGGAAGACACAGCAAAAAAAAAATGGAAAAAATCTTAACTAAAACTTTTTCCCCTGTATTTCTCCAACTTAGGTCAATGTGTAACTCTAAGAATTTACAGGCCTTATGGGCAGAACTGAATAAGAAAGGAATTAACCATAACTGCAAGCCAGCACCTAGGTAAGTACAGCCGGGAAAAACAGCAGTGGTCATTTATTCTAACTCTTACAGTGACCTGTTTATGACCTTTTCAATGACATGGATGTAAGGGTGGATGATTTGGGCAAAAGACCATGTGTCTTTGACACCATGCACCAAATTCCCATATATACGGATTACATGAACTATACATTTATGTGATGCCAGAGTGCGAATTTTACAGTGATAATCAGGGGGGTCAACTTTTTTCCCAGTACAGCGCAGGCGCGTGCTTCAGTGATTGAAGTCTTACAATCCTTACAGTACCATGCTTGTTTAATTTAAAGTCTACAGTCTGTAGATGATGATGATGAATCAAATCCATAACACCAGCTCATGAAGAATGTACCACACAACAACTTTTGTAGTCAGGGCTCACCAACAAAGTATTCAAGAGTAAAACTGCCAGCACATCAGACCCACACACGCAAACATCAACAGCAGACCATCATTTCCACTCAAATACAGACCCACACGATGCTGTAGCAGAACCAGAAACACCATCAACCTAACAAAGAGGTCTACTGGCTCAAAAGCCTAAGATGGAGTGAATCCTATCTTTTCCATTAATTCAGAAGTGAGAAACATATGAATTCTACAAAAAAGTTCCTGTAGAGTATGAATTAATTTTTTTCAATTAGACTATTTTCAAGGTAAAAAAAAACAGTTGACAAAGTTAGATTTTTGTGTGGTCTATGTCTTTAAGGAGTGGCTAGGTTAATGTTTCAGGCCTTAGCAAGTAGCATAATGCAAACTCTATCAAATCAGTCTTACCTTAAAGAATTGACCACAGAGGTTTGGGTTGACCCTCCTGGGCCTTCCTCCCATGATGTTGACAAACGATGACCAGCTTTCACCCAGGACGTCGTAAATCGAACAGGGTCAAACATCTCCAAAGGTGCTCCATTGATGTCCACAAAAAAGAAGAGAGGACAGACTCTTTGCAGGGTCACCAGGTAAATCTGAGGGGTCATCAGATGATTAATCAGAGAGGAAAGTTCTGGTTCATAAATGTGTTTTCAGTTTTAAGACTTGGTCTTTAATCTTTGATATTTGATGAGATATGTGATCATTTCAACATTTATAGTAATGAGAGCATGTGAGAAGTTTAGAGGGAAAAATCACTATTTGGTAACTGTTAACAACTCAGACATCTGAAATGTTACAGAGATTAAACGCTGCTTTTTGTAAGATGTAAGAAGCCAAAAAAGTTGAAATGCACTTAATTTCTCTCCACCATTGCGAATACAATTACTTAGCCTTCACCACACATGTATTTTAATATTGTTCAATTACCAAACCAGATAAAACTCCTGAATTCCTGACTGAAAACAAAGAGGGTGTTTCTTAAAAACCTAATACCCAAATAGTTAAAAGACTAACTAAGCCACACAAAAGACTGTAAATATAAATATTAAAACTCATCTCAAAACTACAACACCTAATCCCCACTGTCTCACTGTTAGTGACTGAGCACCAGTTTTAGCTAACATTACATATTGGTAATGAAATGACTGAGCTAACATTGGAAATGAATGGGCGCTATCAGCTAGCTAACATTAGTTAGCTCAACTGTAACTTGCGGCAAAAGTTAGAAACAAGATAACGTGAGCGTTCATCTGTAGATACTTCACACAGTCTCATTCAGAAACTGTGTGGGTAAGACAGTAAAGTGTATTAAACCACCGAATAGTTTGTTACTGAAACTTACATTTACCATCGCTGTCGCACGGGGGCAGAGACGCAGCGCGAGCCACTGACGCGAGTAAGGAAAGTTAGGGAATGGTACGGCCCACTTTAGGGGTGGACAAAAATCATATCACAAGATTATTCCAAGTAGGAATATTGTAATAGTTAAAATTACAGGGGAAAAAATACACAGAAGTTGCAACCCCCCAGGACTGTTGTTTTTACCGCCTTGTCTTAATCCGGAGGGAGTCACCCCCCACGCACCCCAACCCCTCAACCCCCTGTAATTCGTATATTAATTTGTCATTTTGTCTATCTTGTAGGGCTCACATCAAGAAGTGCAAGTCGAGCAAGACCAAGCCTTGTGGAGTCTGTTTGTTTTAAGGGGCCCACACTCCAGTTGTTCTGGCCCAGGGTTTTTTGTTTTTGTTTTGTTTTGTTTTGTTTGGTTTTTAATTTCTGGTAAAATATCACGTGCTGTTAAAATATCAGAGCAGCTATCAAATTACAGTTTTACTGATGATTTCTCTTCTTCCTGGCTTGGAAATTAAAAAGATATGTATATATAAATATTTTGAAATAAAATGTTGAAACATGTTGTGAATTTATGTGAAGTCACTTGTTTGTTTTTTGGAGACAAAACCTAAAAGGTTTTCTTTAGTTTGACTTTGTATGAAGTAATTCCAGGAGTTTGGTGGGCACTTGTCTCACACCACACGACCAAAAATGATGAGGAATTAAATGTTCTCAAATATTTATTACTACAGGTACACCTTAGCGAACATTTGCTTAGTTGATCATCTTAGTTGTATTTCTGCTAAACACACCATTTTTGCTTTCTTTTTTGCTCCATGTGAAACTCAAAGCCTCTGCCAAAGGTTAGACTAAGGTGCGTGTAGATATGCAAAACCACTAAACCACTGACAGAATAGAAAGTGATCATAAAGAAAATCAAACCTGCTCTTGGTTTTATATTTGTAGGTGTAGGCCGCAAAATGACTTATCTATGATGTGTGTGAACCAAAGCGACACAGACAGGAACAAAATAAAGAGCAGGGTTGACTCGTGAACCTTGAGGAGTGAGATTGTTGTGGCAGGAAGAAGGAGGCTCATCGATCACAGTGAAAACCTCCCCTTTCCTTCCTAGTGACTTGCTGCTGTGTCACTCGTACCGTAAACAGGCTGTGTCGGTGCTGGGAAGAGTTGTTCGGGGTTCTCAGTGCACAGGTGTTACATGAAGAAGGCCCCTTCTGTAAAACCACAACATGGGGTACTGTGAGAAACTCTGAACTGTCAGTAAACACGGTCACAGTTTGAGTCACTGACACTCATGCTGCGCTACAAGTGATAACCTTTATTTAGCGCTTTTAAGACAATAACAAGCGTTTCAAGATCAAAAGAAAAAAATCAGCAGATGAGTAAAGCTAAAATTTATCTATCGTGGAAATCATTAAGTACATACGTCACACTTTACGTGACATTTTTCTTTTGCCAAGTAGGAAGCAAGCTCAAGTAATTCACATGACTTTGTCACCATCAGGACTGTTTTCAGCTGTTAAAATTTGTAGGTATAGTCCATCCAATTTTTTGAGCAAGTACACTAAAAAACAACTTGTTTGCGCTGATAAAATGTATTTCAAAATGTGTTTTCCTCAAGTGCAGCTGACACAGAAAGAGCCCTAAAGGTGGTTTTGTGTCATTACCTGGTCTTGACACCCTGACTCAAAGGGGATTCCTGTGTCTTCACCTAGTTTACCGTTTCAGTTTCTCACTTGCATTTCAGAATGAATCTGTTTCATCAAACTGCCACAGAGCAAACCTGGGACCAGGTGTAGCAGTGTAGGAAAAATCTGGGGTTTATCCAGAACAAGGGTTTTACCACAAACTAACCATCCAGGCAGTTATTAAAGCCAGAAAATTTACATTTCACCAAGCCTGAGTAGATTTTGAGGTCGGATGAGCAAATGGAAACCACCACAACCGAGTGAGATACGCAAATAATGTGAATCAAGCAAATCAAGCTCTACGAGACCTGCAGATTTGTAAACTCCAGCTCGTCCAGGTGCTGCTCCACCATCTGATCTGAGCTGGAACAAGTTCCTGCCCAGAGTAACCCTGCACCACATAAGAGGGTTAGAAAATGGAAGAGTTGGGGCAGCTGTAATTGAGGTTTCTGGTTCCTCCTGGTCATGTGTTCAAGTGTCCTTGAGCAAGACGATGAACTGTGTGTGTAGTCTGTAATGTAATGTAACAGATGTACAGATGTCACCAACAAACACATCACAAGTTACATTCACTATGGAGACATATTCACTGTAAAACAACTAGAAAGAGGTACAAAGAGATGCGAAACAGCTACAAAGAGACACGAAGCAGCCACAAACAGACACAAAATGACTTGAAGGAGTCATGTGATGAGCACAGAGTTACAGATCAACTAGAAAGAGATGCAAAACTACCAAAAAGAAATATGAAACAACTACAAAGAAACACACACTGGCCACAAATTACTGTCTTCCAGTGGGATCATAATCCGTCCACAACTGCAACTTTATTCCTCTAAAAATAATTACAGTGTTTTCTCAGTAACATCCACACATTTAGCTGTTTTGGTTGATTATCACACACACACACACACACACATATATATATATATATATATATATATAAAAGTACTTTCTGTTTTAATTTTGACTTTAAAAAAAAAAGACTCTCGGGGCAAAGTGGGATATCCCAGAATACCCTGCCGAAACCTTCCCAGCACCTACTGAAATTTATGAAAGTGGAAGCTCCAACTTCAACAACAAAAAAAAAAATCCATACACACAACTGTAAATAAACTTAAAAAAAAAAAAAAAGGTGTGAAAGGTGTGAAAAGTGTCACCAGGAGAATGTAATGTATTCTACAATGTATATTTCTTTGGGCTTCAGAGGTGACTTTTCCTCAGTAGATGATCCTGCATTCATCTCTAAGGAGGGAGGGGGAGGGGGGGGGGGGTCTTACACTTATATCTATGTGTAAAAATGGAAAATAACATACAGTAATTTAGGTTTTCTATAAGAAAGAACAAATGAGTGGACATGGGTTGTGTCCCCTGCACAGTGTCGTTTACTGGAGGAGGATCGGCGGCGTATTTTCCCCTCTCCTTCTTCCCTGAAACAAGTCCGCTCTGAGTCAACACCTTTGAGAAGAGCAGATTGTGTAAGACGATAAGCCTGCGTGATGTGTGATTTTCCCTCAGCCCGCAGCCCAGAGGTTTTTTTTTTTTGTTGGTTTTGCATATTTTTCTTGTTGGACAGTTTCATCTCGATATTGATGACTTTTTAAAAAAAAAAAAAAAAAAAACGTTTTCCGGATTTTAAGCGCGTGCGGTTTACCCACCCAGGAAGTTAAAAGACGCTCGGCACACAGATGAATTCTCACACGGCGTCAAACGGCACACTGTAAAAAAAAAAAAAAAGAGAGAAAGGAAAGAAAAAAGAAGATAGTGCATCTCCAACTTATTCCTTTATTTTGAAAGAGCTCCAATGATAAAGATACAGCAGGATTATAAAGACCTATTTAATCATGTTTATTTCCTGACATGAAACTTGAAAAAAGTTATTTAATTTAACTTTAACTATGTTGTTCATTTTTTTCTATTGGTTCATGTATTTAATTTTAGTCATTTACCTTTATTTTTTACAAGATTTTGTTTCTTAATTAATTTTCATTTTATGGTGATTTGGTATATATTATTTATTCATTCATTATTATGAATATTTATCAAGCTGGGCGAGTTTCCCTTTAAGATAAAAAAAGTAATAAAGAAGTAAACTGATCAACTGGATCAAATCTGATCCTGAATGATAAGGCTCATTTTTTGCAGTGTAGATAGAGATTTTTCTCTTAGTCATCGATTCGTACCATAAACATTTCGTCTTTTACCGCTCGTGGTGTTGATCAACTGGTTGTACTTTCCTTTCCTTCGTTATGGTCTGTGACTGCAGCGGCGCGACCACGAAGAGGGAATCCCGACAGCTGATTGGACAGCGCTGGTTTTAACACGTCACACGGTATCCTCAGTATAACTATACATGCAGAGCGAGTCCTGCTTCACTGCCTCTCAGCTTTATAGAGGGATCTGTACACCTCAGAATCACACTATGGTGAGTTTTTATTATTATTATCATTATTATCATTATTATTATAATAATTATTATTAGATTTCTAGACCCCCAGGTTTGCGCTTCATTATAACGGGGTGTCACATGACTGTGTGGAGATGAGATAATTCACATCCTCTGCGGGTTTGAGTCAGCTGCCGCCCTGTGCCTTTGCAGCACATGCTGAGCTCCTCGCAATATTGATACAGCATCTCCAAAAATGTAACATATAGAAGATCAGACTGTGGTGGAAATAGTAGTGACATATTTTTACTTCAGTAAACGCACCAATGCTCCAACATAAAAAAAAAGGATGAAAAAACAAAACAAAACATGCATTTATAATTTTAGTACAAGTAGTGGAAATGCAAAAGTATTGAGTTTCAAAAGTAAACACATAAAGAGTGAACAAATACATTAATAAGCACTCTTATCTGTTTACAGTTACATTATAGTGAGTTATAAACCATTTCTTTAATGCTTATAAATGCTAAATAGGGGAACGTAAAAACAAAGTGTTACATTTTAATGTATTAAATATTAAAACATAGTGAAAACTGTATCATTAAAGGTCCCAGATGCAACGATGAGACATTTAAAAATGCAACTGACTCATCGCTTAGCTGACTTATGTTTCAGCATTAGTTAAAATAACTTTTAAGTTTGGTTATGTTTTAAAATGTATACATGTATATAATGTGATTCTGTTGTCTCAGAGGTTTACGTGTCTTCTTCTCTGTGTTTTAAGTCCCTGCGTGAAAACACAATGGACAGACCACAGGCCAGCAAACCTGTTGCCACTGACAACAAACCAACTCACAGATTGTATCCATCACTGCCAAATATAGACAGGTGAGAAACGGCGCATCATCTCTGTCAGACATTTGATGATTTTGTTATTGATAAAACGCGAAATAATGGCAGATTCATTAAAGCTGCTGTAAGCGCTAATGCAAATCATGTGTTTCCAGGTATGATATTTGTCTGCTGGGCCACTCCACTGGTGAAAAGCCTCGCACGGCTGCGGAGTCTCATCCTGACCCTGTGCTGGGAGACAGACAGGTAATGTTCACAGATGCAACCCTGGAAGATAATGTCTGGGGCGAGCGTTATGTATTCTCACCCTGTCACCGTTTGATTCCATGACCACATGGAAATGACATTCTTTGTGTTACTGGAAACAGTCAAAGGCAAAACTTCCAAAAATGTGTAAAAGGAAGTCCGTGGATATAGTCATGTTGCATAATTGCCCATCTAATGCTTGCACTGTGTGCCAAATTTGAATACTTCCTCTTATTTCTCTCAGTCGGAAGTGTGTGCCGCCAACAGTGACGTCAGAATGAAAGCACAGATACTTATCTTGGAGGACCAGAGGCACGAAGTGAGTAGATTTCAGAACTGAGATTTATATTCATCCCAAAACACAACATGTACTTTTACCACTTATGTGATTCATGTTCTTTTCTGTCTTACTCAGCTTCTTTCTATTAATGAGAAATGGGCAAAAGAGTACCGAACCATGGTGCAGTACTACAAAGAGAAAGTAAGAAAGGGACAAATTCAAAGTCCTACTCACTGTTTATTCAGCTCTTATCAGTTTGTTTTATTATTTTACTTGTTGCTTCTTCTGGCTGTGTTGCATCACATGTCCTTTTCTTTACCTAAACACCCAGGTCCAGGATTTAAAAGCATTACTGCACTTTGAACAGGGGACGTGTGAGGAAGAAGAAACGCAGATCACATTGTATAAAAAACAAACATTCAGGACACTCAAAGGAGAGGACAGCAAATGGGTAAATGCACCAAACATGTTTTTTTAAAGGCATGTGTGATTAGATTAACTGTGTGAAATGGAGTTTTAATAATTTGATCCCTGTGGGAAAAATGTTCACAGAGTGGCGACGCTGACGTACAATCGGAGCTACTGAAACTAGAAAAGGAAGCACAAGAGCTGCGAGCGCAGAACAGCACCCTGACCCGCAGGGGGCAGCACCAGCACGAGGAGATCAAACGACTGAACAAGGTGAGATGAGCTGCTGCCAACTGAGCGTCGTGAGTGTTTGCACCCTTCGAAAACAGTGTTGTTACAGTTGCTTTCATGTGTTTGTGCAGGCCATGAAGGAGGTTCTTCTGACCACGCAGCCTCTCGGGGTGAGCAGTGAAACACTACAGGATCTGTGGAAACATCAGGTTAGCTTTGCACATCATATATAAATATGTATCTTTGCTGTATATGTGCGTTTTTGCAACAGCAGGGCCAGCCCTATAATCTGGAACGTCCCTGACAGATTGACTGACTGACTGAGTGATCATAGTTTCACCACTGGTCAGTGAATGCCTCGTCATTGAGTTGGAGTTTCTGGTGCGAACAAACTCAGTTGGGGGGGGTATTCACAGCCTGTGGTGTTGCCAACTTAGCGCATCGTCGCTAGATTTAGAGACTTTTTTTTCAAACAGAAGCAGAGGAACGCTTCCAATACACTGAGCCTCTCTTCCATTACAGCATATGACCTACTTTCACTACACGTATCATTATTACTAATTGAGGCAGAGGATTAACTAAACATAAGACACACTGAGCAGAGAGAGCAGGAGAGAGGGAGGGAGAGAGAGGAGTCATCGCTAACTGCTAAAGAAACTAGCTGATCTGAATAGCATGTAAACAACAGAAACACCTGCAACCAGAAATGAGACAATACGCTTACTGCAGCACAGCAATAAAAGTCCGGTTCAGACATGAAGGGTTTCTGTCCACTGAAACGCTAGAGGGCTTTTAATTTGAAATGTTGAGTTTGTATGATCATGTAATGTAGTAACTTTAACATGAATGACCGCTATGGCTGATTATGGCCCCTGAGTAAAGTCTGTTATGTTCTGGAGTTGAGGTAAATAAAGACTGAACCATGAGAGACAAAATAAGAAAGATATTCTGTCTCTTCTAACCTTCTCTCCGAGTGATCATTTTATAAGTAGATGCAGCTGAAATCACAGCTCAGTCTTTAATAGATGTGTTTGGTGATTTTATCAGACGACGTCGCAGTTATAAAATCCGGGTTTGACCAAAGGCGATTCAGACATGTACTAGGTTTTGACCTCGTCATGTTATTTAAATGAATAGTTCAACATTTTGGGAAATGTTAGATGAGAAGATCGATACCTCTTTCATGTCAGTATATAAAATATGAAACTGTAAGCTGAGTGGTATCGATCTTCTCATCTGACTGGAGGGTATTTCCCAAAACATCCAACCACCGTATTCATTTCGTGCACTTTCCCAAAATGCCCATCTGTATCCTTACATCATGTTTCTTTGTCGTCAAATTTAAAGGCTGAGATCTACAAGGAAGACTTTTTGACGGAGCGGAAGGACAGGGAGAAGCTTAAAGACAAGTATTTGGAGCTAGAGAATCGGTTCAGGAAAGCTCGCAGCGAGCTGCATGTCCTTAAATCACAGGTATGTAAGAATTCATGTTCTTCTATTCTGGCATGTTTGCTACTATAAATGACAATTTATAGACATTACTATATTTTCTCTGTTTTTACAGGTGACTCGGACTCAGCCTCCACAACCGGTGCTCGAATGTGTCTGCACTGCTCATCCACACTGGGAGGTCCAGCCAGTTAAACAGCACCGCATGCAGACACAGAGGCGATACACTCTTGATAACAAACTGTGAAATGAGCGTGTGTGTTATAATATTTTGCTGCACTTTATGGAAGTCTCTCTTCGAGTACGACGGCCGGATGAGAGCTCATCGTTCGCAGGGTGAGACTACAAAAGAACATCTGCGACTGTCTGCTGCACGCTCGTCTTCAGGTAGTTTTCATCATGACCGGAACGAGGTCGCCCCCCAGTCTGGGCCTGTTCGGTGACCTGCAGCGGGGACAGAAAGAAACCTCGTGAATCTCTGTATGCACATTTCCCAAGAGGACAAAAAGCAGCAAAGACTGACATAAAATACTCTACCTAGTGTTTACCAAGTTTGTTCTGTGCACCATGCACCAGTGTACTCACTTCCTGCTCCTGTGACACTGGTCCTGAGGGAGATATCAGTTATTGCACAACCCAAATAAAATTGACATGGATCATATTTATCAATGGTGCAAAAAGGTGTTTTGTTGCAGGTATTCCTTCAGTTTTAGCTCATCTGCACCTGAGGCATGTCAGAGGGGAAGTCAGGGGGAAAGTATACAGGAACTTTTATTTTGACAGTATATTTATGAATGTGTATTTTTCCTGTTTTCTTGTTTATTTATCATGAATAAAAACACTTGAATGGCACATGTGTTGAGTCTTTTGTACGGTTGAGTGAGTACAGAGTAAAACAGATGTGCTGTGAATTGTACTCTACTAAAAGAAGGAAACCGGGAATAAAATCAGCAATAGAGACAGAAACAAGCTGTAAAAAACAAAAACAAAAAAGAAGCTGATTGTGATTATTACTATCAGTACATGTTGAGCCATAGCCAGTGGGTTGCTGGTGTGCAGGGCTTCCACTCCACTCATGGCGACTGGACAAAGGACCTACAAAAGAAACATGTGCACAAGTCTTTATTCAATATCCTGGTTTAAACAGCTTCATCAGATCAGTATTTACAATCTACATTCTTTTCCCCTTCGTACTCACCATCATACACACACTGATGTGCTGATTGTGAGTTTGGATCTCCATTAAAGGGACTGACTGGAGACGGATATGATCTGATCCAGGAGGCCTCAGCTGCCAGGTGCATGTTCATCTCCAGTTCTTGTTAAAAACAGGAAGGGATGGTAGAAATCTAAGACCTCTAGTGACCTCTACTGGTGACCACGAGGAAGTGCAATAACTGACTTTTTTTTAGTTCTTAGATTTGTTCTCCATAACTAACATTAAATAAAAAAGTCTATAGACATAAAGACATTTTATTCACTTATTTCATGTTGTAAATTGTATTTTATCTCTTCTTTTATTATCAGTTTTCTTATGTTTGTTTTTGTTTGCTATAGCTTTTTAAATCTATTTGATTGTATCTTGCTGTTGATCTTTCTCACTTGATTGGTCCTTTTCTTGTGAACTTTGACCTGCAGTAACCTGTGTGAATAAATAAATAAAGTTTGATCGATTGATCGACAGCTCCACATCAGAACTTTCAACTGGCTCGTCTCTATATGATATATAAATAAAGTTCTGTTACTATAATTAATAAAACATGCTGAGTGTATTCAGGGGTTAATCCAAACGTGTTTGCTTATCCAGGGACGGATTATTCTTCCTGTTTTTCATTGATCAGTTACGGTTACAGTCGTCACACCGTGCAGCTGATCAATACCACCATAGTTTTCCACTGTCAGCTATTTAGCTGAATCACTGTGCGTGTGTCCTGATGTCTCCTGCAGGTATAACGTTTATACCATGTGCACCGTCTTCAGTTGAGCGTGTCCAGCTGAGGCTCGGGGGGGAATGTTATTAGTCAGAGCCAAAGAGAAACTGATGTTTGTAATAAATTAAACAACTGAAGAAAAAAAAAAATCCAGGCTTGGAACACAGCCTCTCTCAACAGTTCGCGTTATTGATAACCTACACCTGAATATTTTTTAATTATCCCCCCAAAAATTTGCCAAACTCAATCACAGGCACAACAACACCAGAGATGCAAAAACTGCAGCTTTAAGAAAAGTGTTTTCGCACCAAGCATGTGATACAGCATCAATCCTTTTGACTCCAGCACTGATACTCATAACAGGACTTTGTATTGGTGATGTTGTAACTAAGCATCATTTGCCAAACCAACGGCTGGAACAAGTTCAGTCCATTTTTAAATGGGTATCCAACGCTGCAGCTGATTCACACCAAAAGGAAAAAAGACCCGTCTCCGACTAGCACCAGTGTATACTCACATTTCAGGCATTTTTGTAGCAAACCGCAGAAGGCCCCTGTGGTGGCTGAGCAAACGAGATGCCTAAATACTCTTCCACCTGCCGCTCTGCAGCCTTCCACCCCTGTCCTCACACAATGCCAGTTTTTAGAGTCACTACAGGTCAACAACTCTCTGACACGAAGAGGCCCAGAGTGTTTTCAGCTCCACTTTCAAAATCCTAAACGTATGTATTAGCAGATCTGTGCGGAGATGTTCTAGTTTGAGTTTCATGTACCTGCCTGCTTGAGCACAGAAACACTACAGGAGAAGGTTTCCCACAGCAGCTGCTTCAGAGTCACATTCACCAGTATCTGTATTGTTATACAGAAACAGGAAGTACAACTGCAGCAGTGTTGACTCAGAAACAATCTTCAACCTCTCTCCCAAACATCTGCACGTTTCACCGCCAAAGAACAAACTACATACCTACCGTTTATGGAGAACAGGTTGATTTAAGCAAATAGCATGAAAGCAGGAAGTACTTTTTCCCTCTTTGTGCAGACTGCCCTCTGAACCGAGTCCTTAAAGGGGAACACAACCTTTTAAAAATCCATATATGGTATTTCTAGATATTCTCAGTTGCCTTTCTTGTGCAAACCTAAATCCTTTAAGACGGTAATGAGGGGTTGAGTAAAACACTCGCAGTTGTGGAAGCGGATTTTAGAAGAATTTTATTGGCACAGTTATAGCAGCAATGTGTTCTTGTTTATTTTCAACAATGGTCCCATAACAGTTTGTTTTCTATTCGGCTTCGGCTATCAGTAACCTTTACTTAAGAGAAATACTATGGACAAAATCTAAAACACGACGCTTTGAGCTCAGTTGAAGTGATTGTCAGTACAATTGCATAAAGTGCATATGCACACAACGTAAAGAAAGTGAAACCGAGTATATTCTAAATCACCAGATCTGCTGTGTTTGCTGCTCTGTAGCTACATTCTTAGTGGTTTAGTCTGAAGATACTTGCTGTTTATAAATAGATGCAGTAATGTATGGTTATGATTATGATTCAGGGCCTTAAGGTGATGATGAACTTTAAAATAAAATATATTACAATGCTTTAAAATGGTAACACAACTGTACCCAGTGCTCAGTGTTGTAGCATGTTGTTACGTTGCAAATTGTGATGTTGGCAAAAAAAAAAAAAAAAGAAAAAAAAAGAAGTAATATATTGAAATACTGTACTTCTCTGCCTTTTTACAGATAAATATGTTAAATACATTCTACTGAAGTATTTTCAAAGGACAGCATTAACAGTCACAAAGCGGATTTAAAAGAGACAAATTCTGGCCAGTATTGCACACCAGTTTTCAGCCGCCAAAACTCTGCCAACACCATAGCAGGAATATTAGAACATCCACTTGTCAGAGGACCAGTTCCAAGGACTCCACGCCTCAGTAGAAAGCGGGGTTCGTATGCTCGATGACACAGCGCCGGCAGTGGCGTCTGACAAACCGCAGAGCCTCTGGCGACACCTCGCAGTCCTGCACGTTGAGAAGCTGCAGCTCGCAGCAGTTGGCGGCGAGAGCTTTGAGTCCTCTGCCCGTTACGCTCTCGCAGGCTCTGAGACTCACTCGCCTCAGGCCTTGGCAGTACATAGCCAGCTGCTCCAGCCCGCTGTCGGACACCAGCGGGCATTTACCCACATCCAGAGACTTGAGTTTGGGGCAGCTCCTGGCCAAGTGGCTCAGGCCGTGGTCTGTCAGCCCCTCACAGCCCCTTGCGTTCAAGTAGCGCAGTCTCGGGCAGTAGCGAGCCACGTAGCGCATGCCCACGTCTGTAATGCGGGTGCAGTGGGCTACGCTCAGGTAGCGCAGGCAGCCCTCCAGTCGGGCGACTTCCCGCAGGCCGAAGTCCCCTACCAAGCGGCAGTCACTGAGACTAAGCTCCCTTATTGAAGGGCAGTGGAGAGCCAGGTGGCGCAAGGCTTCGTCTGTCAGTCTGGTGCAGCGGCGCAAATACAGATGCGTCAGGCGGGGGCAGTGGGAGGCGATAGTTCGCAAGCCCTCGTCCTCGAGGGAAAAGCAGTCGGTCATGTCTAGGTAGTGAATGGAAATCTGCTGGCCGTGCAGAGTGGACAGCTGGAGTGAGGCCTCCTGGGTAAGGCTGATACATGTCACCTTGGAGCAGCCTGGGGGAGGAGGAAGGAAAGGTCGTCAGCTCAAGATGATTTAGAAACGAAAGGATAAGTTTACAAATGTTCAAGTCTGTCTTTAAACAGCAAACCAGGTGTCCATACGAACACTGAAATCTTCCTGGCCTTATGTGTGCCTCTAATGTCCACACTCCTTGCTCTCCAGATGTTTAGCTGAAGCTAAGTTGAGGCTTTAGCACTGTTTGCCAAAGTTACAGCCTTTTTCAGTATCTGTCCAACTCAGGAAGGAAACACTGCCTGTGTTAATTTCTTACTAAAAGAGACTGTAACTGTAAGATAGATAAATAGATAGATAGATAAATAGATAGATAGATAGATAGATAGATAGATAGATAGATAGATAAAAGCCTGATATTAGCTTCAGATAAACTTTAGAAAAGCTAAACTGTGGATTTTGTCCCCTGATACTTTCAACAGAAGGATGTTGAGGAGGCTGATTTAAGTCATCGTCGGCCACTAGAGGGCACCAGAGTAAAACCTGCTGTGTCTGGCTACGTGCTTGAAGCATGAAAACATTTTGAGAGCAAGCAACTCCAAGAAAACCAAAACCTGTGGTCGTTCATCAGGATAAAAATCAAAGGCTGATGTCCTTCTTAGTTACAAAACAGATTTGATTTCATTATTTTTGGCCTTTCAAATAAAAACCGCAACTTTTTCAAAAGACCTATTTTTGCAACAAAGGGCTTACTTCCTGGTGCTAATGGTGCAGGCATCGCTCTGCCACCGGAGCCCTGTCCAAGTCAATGTTATTTGTGTCACTTCCTTAATGAAAGCAGCAGACCAGCCCTCTTACTCATGTTGAGGTAAGTTCTGCTTTCAGCTAAAGAAAGTCTTTCTTCTCCCACATGGGAGCTTAAGGTTGGCAGAGCTTCTCCCCGCTCCTCTAATGATTTTACCAGCTTTAGAAGAAATGAGACTGGGGAGGGCTGAGAGGAGGGATTCTTTGAGGTAAATCCACACGTGCGTGATGTAAGGTAGCAGCCACTCCTCAATAAGACTGCATAAACCTGCCTTTAGCCACCAATGAAAGACGGATCTTACAGAATATGACATGTAAGAAATGCTTCCTTTCTTTTTACCTGAGAGGTTCAGGTGTTCCAGGTTGGGGCAGCGGGACACCACCTCAAACACAGCCTCATTAGAGATGTTATAACAGCCAGCGACCTCCAGGCGACGGAGCTCCGGGCAGCACTGAGCCACCACGT